ACGCAGAGGCGAATTGCTAATGAGCAACTGCCGCTCTGCTGAGGCGAAGTCCCAGAAAACGGCACAGGTTTTGTGATTTTGGCTAAAAATGGCATAATCATAATTTAAAGACCACTGGGAATGTTTAAAAATAGCTCAAAATATGATCGGAGTGGGACTTTAACAGTTGCTCTCCACACTGGCCTGTCAATCATCTTATCACAGTTAAACTCCTCCACTTTTCATTTACTTTCCTACCGTATCGGAGAGAAATGCAGAATCACGTTGATCTGCAGTCACGGGTCTTTCATGCGGAGACGCTCCTCATATTAATGCATAAAGTTCAGTCCTTCCAGAAAAACGGAGTTTTTTTGTAATTGCTAAGGGCACAAATCCTTGATTATGCGGCCCGTTTTCTTTAAAAATGCGATGGAATATGCGGGATATTTATGCGATGAACTTGCAAAAACTGCGGTTTGATGAAAAAAGAGAAGAAAAAAAGTGATTCCCCAACACCCTGCTCTCACTAGGCTCCTACCTTACTGTGAAGAGTCATTTCTTCTGACTTCCTATGATAAGCAAGCGTATACATCACAGAAAGTGCTGGAATATTTCAGTTCTCATCTTGTGTTATTTCAGACCTTAATAAACACATCAAACTTACAAAACATTGATGAGTCCAACAAGTTCTGTAGCTTTACAAGAGGAATATGCTACAACTTCTGTAAAAATGAATAAATGAAATATAAAAAAATAAAGTGTGCTCCTGTTTTACAGCTTTTCGATGATGTTCATGTCGCGTAATTACGTCACTTCGTAACGTTCCCATGGCAACAGGGGGAAACGGCGGCTCTCGTGTGAAGCAAACGCAACATTTTTCAACTTTCTGCTGAGATATATGTGACTTTTTTGCAACGAAAATGCGAGGATTATGAAATCATGCAAGCCCCGCATATTTTGCACGGAAATCGGCAATTTATGCGGCGAAAGTGCGGCGTATTTGAAAAAATGCGACCCCCGCATAAATATGCGGACTTTGGCTGATTATGCACTAAATCATGCGATCGCATAATCACGTTTTTCTGGAGGGACTGATTAATGCATTTAAAAGTTAATGGCCAAACTGATCTTTATAAAAGTCCACATTGTTGTTGCAGATGAAATATAACATGGATAACATGAAATAAAAATCTTGTTTATCAGGTTAAACTTTAATTAGTCACTCAAACCTTTATCTAAACCTCTCACCGCTGGTCGCGCACATCCGCCATGTTTTTTTTTTGTAGTTCTTTTTTACTCGTGTTTGTAGTTCCTCCTCCAAAGCGCAATGGGTTGAGGGCAATATTATCTGTTATAGTGAGCACGGGTGACATCATGCATGTATCTTTTCAACATACACTCACCTAAAGGATTATTAGGAACACCTGTTCGATTTCTCATTAATGCAATTATCTAATCAACCAATCACATGGCAGTTGCTTCAATGCATTTAGGGGTGTGGTCCTGGTCAAGACAATCTCCTGAACTCCAAACTGAATGTCAGAATGGGAAAGAAAGGTGATTTAAGCAATTTTGAGCGTGGCATGGTTGTTGGTGCCAGACGGGCCGGTCTGAGTATTTCACAATCTGCTCAGCTACTGGGATTTTCATGCACAACCATTTCTAGGGTTTACAAAGAATGGTGTGAAAAGGGAAAAACATCCAGTATGCGGCAGTCCTGTGGGCGAAAATGCCTTGTTGATGCTAGAGGTCAGAGGAGAATGGGCCGACTGATTCAAGCTGATAGAAGAGCAACTTTGACTGAAATAACCACTCGTTACAACCGAGGTATGCAGCAAAGCATTCCTGAAGCCACAACACGCACAACCTTGAGGCGGATGGGCTACAACAGCAGAAGACCCCACCGGGTACCACTCATCTCCACTACAAATAGGAAAAAGAGGCTACAATTTGACTGGAAAAATGTTGCCTGGTCTGATGAGTCTCGATTTCTGTTGAGACATTCAGATGGTAGAGTCAGAATTTGGCGTAAACAGAATGAGAACATGGATCCATCATGCCTTGTTACCACTGTGCAGGCTGGTGGTGGTGGTGTAATGGTGTGGGGGATGTTTTCTTGGCACACTTTAGGCCCCTTAGTGCCAATTGGGCAAGTTTTAAATGCCACGGCCTACCTGAGCATTGTTTCTGACCATGTCCATCCCTTTATGGCCACCATGTACCCATCCTCTGATGGCTACTTCCAGCAGGATAATGCACCATGTGCCAAAGCTCGAATCATTTCAAATTGGTTTCTTGATCATGACAATGAGTTCACTGTACTAAAATGGCCCCCACAGTCACCAGATCTCAACCGAATAGAGCATCTTAGGGATGTGGTTGAACGGGAGCTTCGTGCCCTGGATGTGCATCCCACAAATCTCCATCAACTGCAAGATGCTATCCTATCAATATGGGCCAACATTTCTAAAGAATGCTTTCAGCACCTTGTTGAATCAATGCCATGTAGAATTAAGGCAGTTCTGAAGGTGAAAGGGGGTCAAACACAGTATTAGTATGGTGTTCCTAATAATCCTTTAGGTGAGTGTACTATGCTTATTTTAATCTCACATACTGTTTGGTGTGAATAGCATAGACCTTCTTGACGCCCAATGTCAGCAAACGAGAAACAAGCTTCCTGCAGCTGGAGAGGCCAACAAAAGGGCCAGTGTCCAAACTCAAACTAGCTCTGTTTTCAGGTACGGACTGAAGCAACACAAGCACAGCGTGCAACAGTGGCACGTCTTTCATGTGGAAGTGCTGTGTTCACATCGATCGTCTGCTGTGCAGGGTTCACGGGCTATAGTCACAATTATAAGAAAAATGCATTCATATTTTTCTTCTGGCCACACAGATCTAGAGAAGCCTGCGGTGCCAATGAATTATTCAGCGGTTCCACAAAATAGTATCACACTTTAATAATGCATGAACCAATTTAGGAATAAGGTTTTGGGTTGATTAAGTGTGCTTTTGTGCAAAGGTTTATCAAAGCCTGGAAAGTTCATTATGAGAACGAGTCTCTCCGACAGAATTAGCGATCATTAGTTTTGAGATGCAGAAAAGATGAACAAATGTCTGTGTTTTTTGGTGAATTTTGATCAAATATTGGGCAATTTTTGTATACGTCTGATTTTTTATTTAATGACATGAACATAAACTTAAACCAGTTTCCATCTAAGAGTAAAAAAAATACAATTATAAAAAGGTAATTGTGTTTTTATGTCTTTGTTTCTCGTAATTGCGATTGTACAGGTGAAACTCGAAAATTAAATTTATTTCAGTAATTCAACTTAAAAGGTAAACTAATATATTATATAGACTCATTACATGCAAAGTGAGATATTTCAAGCCTTTGTTTGTTATAATTGTGATGATATACAGCTGTGAAAACATTTTCACAATATTCTAATTTTGAATTTGGGGTTTCCATAAGCTGTAAGCCATAATCATCAAAATTATAAGAAATAAAGGCTTGAAATATCTCACTTTGCATGTAATGAGTCTATATAAGTCAAGTCAAGTCACCTTTATTTATATAGCGCTTTTTACAATACAGATTGTATCAAAGCGCTTCACAGTGATAACATGAAAACAATATAACAAAGTTTGTTTCTATATAGTATATTAGTTTCACATTTTAAGTTGAACATTTTAACTTTTGCATGATATTCAAATTTTTCGAGTTTCACCTGTACATCGTATTTTAAATTTGACCTCAAAATTACTCTCATATTTTTTACTCTGTCTGTCATAGCATTGGATTGAACCCTTTACAAACCCATATCGGTCAACCACTAGTAAAGTTAAACCGCCTAAGATGGATGAGGGTTTTTCCTGCACGTACAAAATGCCCAGTCAGCATTAATGTGCCTTAATGGACTTAACTAAAACAGCAAGTTCTTTATATCCAACTACCTGACTCTATATTCAACAGTATCTAAGTCAACAAAGTCTCAAAGTCTTGAAGGTAAAGGCTCTATATGCATATAATAAATGCCAGTTAACATGCGCCTTAAAGGCCAATGTTAGTTAGTTCACCCAAAAAATTACAATTTGAAAAAAAAAAAAAAAAAAAAAAAAAAGAACCAGACGGACGTTTCCGGAAGCCAGTGATTATGGCTTATAAAGTTCTAAATATGGATATTTATCTTACAAAACCGCATCGCTTCGCTTCAGAAGGTATTTATTAAGTAATATGGATTACTTTTATGATGGATAGATATGCTTTTTTGGACTTCAAATTTCTCAGGTACCATTCACTCCCATTATAAAGCTTACGTCGATTGTTGAAAGAAGAATATGACATTCTTCTTTCAACAATCGACGTAAGCTTAATACACCTAGATTGGCTTGAGGGGGAGTAAATTATGGGATGATTTTAATTTTTGGGTGAAATAACACTTTAAAAGCCACCTATTGAGTGCTGAACACAACGAAGGTTGGGACACATCCCAGACAACTGGAAGAATGTCGACGGTTAATGTTTCCTAGGCTACAACCATCCGAAGCCTCTATGCAAGTGAACTTTGCAGTCCAGTAAATAAGGTCATATCCTCCCGTTTCTATCAATAAGTTACCGGCCTGTTACTCTAATAGAGTTTACATTGTATTGCATCTCAAATATGTATTAGTTATTGATCCCTTGCATTCACTGAAATGCAAAACGCCTTCATTTCAATGTTTCAGTTGCTGTCAAATTAGCAATTAGTGTTTCCATACTATTAATAATTATCATCTTGGTTTGTTATTTAACAATGTGATGGTCTATGCACGCAATAGAGGCATGATTTTTGTTTTTATTCTCAAAACAGAGGTACATAACGTTATGCATTGACTAAATAACATTAAAAAATAACCCCAATAAATAACAAAAGCACATGTTCTATGCACAAATGTTGATTTTTTTATAGACACAGAAGGAAAAATGATGTGTTCATGAATGCACGACATGCAGAATGTGTGTTAGAAACTCACTCACTCACCTCTCGCCTATTTCAACCGGATACTGGGCGTCTAAAGAGTAACTTTCGTTCTTCAAACCTCCATCTAAACACACTGACAGCCAATAAACAACCAACACAAGGATAAGGCTTACAACTATCTTATAAGACCGGTAAAATGTGTCCAACAGGTATGTGTTGGGTCTGAGCCGCTGGTGTGAATAATTGAAGCGTTTTCTTCTCCCTCTTTTCGCGTTTGGTTACCAGAGAGTTTGTAACCTGACTCCACCTTTTCGAAAAGTTTCAAACATGAGGGTCTCAGGCGCTCGGTGAGTGACGTTCTAATTGACCAATAACGTTCGGGTTTGGCTCCCCAACGGGCCAATCAGAGGGAAGAGAGGAGCGTGCGTCCAGCCTTCCATACGGTTTCCCGTCATTATCCTGAGAAAATCCAAGGCTGAAAATTTCCCAGAGGAAATTCTGTTGAACAATGAAGGGGAACTCTCGTATTAGTGATTTTTCTTCTGTAAACAAAATGGCGGTCGACCTTTAATAGATAGTTTCAATGGGTTGTTTACGTGAGGTATACCTGAATTGTATCGCTAATACCTGAGTTTTATTATTTATACATTTGTGTAAGTGAACTCTACATTAAGGAATACTTAGAAAGGTGCGAGACAGATCCAGTCATCCTCGCCGGATGTTGACCTGTTCTTCCGTTTATAAATGGAAAACATTCAAAAACATCCGGTGGCTGTAAATAAACACTAGAAATTCTTAAACCATATGACATCCTCTTCAGTGACTGATAACACAAACAACCCTAACACCTGCGACCACAGATGGGAATAATCGAGAACGATAATAATACATACGAATATGTTTCTTCTACATTTAATAATATTTCATTATTTCTTCTTCTTTTTTTTTTTTACAAGAATGCACTACATTTAGCAACATTATTATTATTTTTTTATGCTTTTATTACTATTAAAACTATTTTTTTATTAGACCTTTCACAGTGGTTTGTATCATGGTTTTTATGGAAGAAAAGCAGCGCGCATTATGGGATGTTACCTGGATGTTACACAGCCCGATGGCGCCGCCCAGCGCTACAAGATTGTATTGCAGCGTCCGTGTCAAAGTGCAGCAACATGGACAAATTCTTTTAAAATATCAGCAATTTTCTTCATATACTTTTTAATGCCTTTTTTCAATGTGACCAATTTAATTTATTAATAAATATAAAAATAAATTAAAAAAATTAAAAATATATAAATTAAAATGTTTTTTTTTTTGTTATTTCATATGAAACGTCTCAAAGCACTGCTAAAAATAAAGAAAACCTTTGAATTGAGCAGAAAATCAACATTTGTCCACATGATTACTGTCACTTTAAACATGTTCCTGCTCTCTCTCTCTCTCTCTCTCTCTCTCTCTCTCTCTCTCTCTCTCTCTCTCTCTCTCTCTCTCTCTCTCTCTCTCTCTCTCTCTCTCTCTCTCTCTCTCTCTCTCTCTCTCTCTCTCTGTGTAATCTGTCTGAAGATAACGGACCGCCGCTTGAGCAGAGTCATTTTGGCGATTCGGTTCATTTGAACAATTCGCTGTTTAAAACAATTTGGAAGTTTAACTTAGGTGATGGAATAAAGATGTTGATCAATTAAACTATTTAATCGCCGTTATTGATATACATTAGTATTTCTTATTGTATATGTATTTACGTTGTCCAGTTTGATTCTCTAAAAGATGATCATCGTGTTTGATCCAAATTGTACCATTTCGAATCAGCCTGCGATTAAACTGTTGTCATGTATTGCGATACTTATTCTATTTTTATGTTTCCAACCTTTCGAATATGTTAGTTTTCTAAATTTCTAAACACCCAAACAACTGACGTCTTGCCATCGCTTTGCGAATCGACTCCATCGAATGGTTCAAAAGAACCGGCTAACATGAACACACAAGGACATCATCATCTGCTTTTTTTTTGTGCACTAACCTCAACTTCTTCACAGTGCGCTGCGGATGTCGGTTCTCACATGAGGCTTTAGAGACATTTTAGGTCCATTTGGGTTTTTTATCTTTGTGTGTTTTTTCTCATTGTGCGTCTGCGAATCTATCACATGCTGAGCGGTTTTGTGCGCAGGTTCATTTAGGCTTCATTTGGCGATTTTTATTACTACCTGTTCTCTATATTCGACCCACAAGGATCATTTCTGCTTTTAACCTCTCGCCATGAGATGAAACCCAGAGGAGATGTTATACTGGATAACGTAAAGGAGAGGACGCGCTATTTCGGCACATGAAGCATTTTGCACATGGACACACGTCACATGTGCGGCATAAAGAGGTTATGATTCTTATTAACCTTTAACTTATCATTTCGGAATTGCTCAAAGAATGCTTAAATTGTGAGCCTTTTGCTTAAATTTATAATAAATGAACTGTGATAGGCAATGCAGGCGTGCTGATTCACATACTGTGCAATGGATTTTGCAACCATTAAGAAAGGGAAGTGTTAATATCAATATATTATAGGCTACACAGAGAAGATTTCAGTTTATATTTAAGCAGAAGATGTTGGAAAACGAATCATTTTACACTCCAATGGCATGTATGCACTATAGGAAATAAAATAATATTTTTGTCTCGTTATTTGGGGTTAATTTGGAATCTGTTTGTTTGGCATAATTTGTTAATTGGCATTAGTAGTTTATTAGTCTTTATTTAGAAGACAAGGAAAGACAGACAGGACACTTTGGATGCCATAATCAGCTTAAGGTTTACAGCAGCTATAGCTATAGCTGGTGGCACTTCTGCATTGTGTTTCTCCATTGCTTTCTAGCCCCTAAGTGGCTTGTTATTATAGCGATTACTATAGTATTTCTAGCGTAATGGACACCAACCACATGGATGATGGCATGGAGATGGAGGTCATGCCTGGCTACATTGAGCTCATCACCAGAGCATATTCAGTCATTTTCAGTGCCTTTAGAGACTGTAAAGACTGCGGACTGGAACTGTCCATAAAAACCTTGCTGGATCATGCCTACATAACCTGGATCGAGATCTTCATGTTCTTCATGAGCGCGGTCATGTGGACGAAGGTGCGCAAGGGACTGACCGTGTACATCTTTGAGGTAAATATACTCCAGAAGCCACGGTCAATACAAACACAACTGATATTGACTAGGCCGATTATTAATATTGTATAAAATATGTGTTCATTTCGTTATCGGTCACTGAAAAACTTTCAAGTTCAGTGGTGAAGCCTGTAAATATATGAATATTAAACACCAGGTTTTGAAAGAATCATTGGCGCCCTCAATGAATATCTGAAACATTGGACATTTGCATATTAAAGGTCATTTTGAGGATAGATGTGAGTGAGTGTGTTTCAGAGATTAGTGATGTTTGTGAAGTCGAGCATCACTAGGACTGCTACGCATACTTAGTTTTAGTGATCTGAGTGAGTTGTTCACAAGCAAACACCTCTCATTTTCTCAAGAGCTGTTGTTGTTTCTGAAAAGCAGACGTTTAACACTTGATGCAGAAGTTCACAAGTTATTTTGGCTGTGAACATGGGTGTCGTTTTTTCTCTTTAGAAGAAAGACCTCTGCTATTTTTGTTCTCTGTTTACTGTCCACTGAAATGTGCTTGAAACTCGCCATGTAAAGTTGCAATGTGCTCAAGAGCTGTTTTACATAGTTTTTTACTTTGCATTTTACCTTTTACATACAATGATGGGTATGCAAACAGATTACATTGACTATCAAGTTTCCCAGACATAAACTTGATCGAATTGCCTTGTTTCCGCCACATTTGTGCATGTGTTGCTTATGTTCAGCGAAGTATGATGTATGCGGCAAACGTTGGTTTCACTTCCTGTCCTGAAACGTGTTTTGATGACTCGTTTGAGCTCTGCTGATGTGCTGCGATTACTGGGATCAATGCCGTCATGATTCATGGGCCTCTGCATCCATGTTTACTCAGGTTTAATTCCTCCTGTAAAGTCTTTACTCTCAGCACATGGAGAAACCCTGACGGCTGGCGTGGTGTTTATATGGAAATATGTGACGTGTCAGGACCTTGTCTGGCCTGTAACCCTTGAGTAAGAGAGTGTGAGGTCTTGGCAAAGAGTTTGTGATTAAAAACCGGCATGACTTAGAAAACGAAAAGGTGACAGTTAGTCACTTATCAATGTGTCAGATCTGATATCTTGTGCTTCTTGGCTAATAATATCCCTCTCCATGAAAGAGGGTTTCTCCTTCAATACATCGCAAGATTAAAGTCATCATATAGTCATTTGATCAAATCATTGCATGCTTAAAGCATGCCAAAAAAAAATAAAAATGGGATTCACAAGATGGGATTCTGGTGCGTCTTCTTGAAGGAATAGTTATCCCAAATATGACCAGTTATTTTTATTGAAGTCATAGAATAGCTTTCAATAGCGGCGTTTCCATCACAGATTTGCGCAAAACTTTTGCGATATGTTGATTAAAGCTATTCCGAAACGATGCTGTTTCCATTAACCGATGTATGCGACTGAAACTTAATTGCGATAATTCATTTAAAAAATCATGGCAACGGATGTTGCTAGGTTTATGTATATCGCAGCCATAACTAGACATTATTTTTAATGGAAGGAGACGTAGGCGTGTTATTGAAGCATTAATGGCAAGGAAAGCCCCTTATACTTGTGAGCGGCTCGTATGAGGTGTTTCTGGGTGTTTCTCCCATAGATATCCATAATAAAGGCTAGATGTCTTACAGCGGAGTCTCTATCGTCATCACCGGCGGCCATCTTGTCACAGGCAAGCTTTCTGGCGGGCTCTGTGGTGCCTGATGTAAGATGAGTGATCAACACGAACACAAATACTCTTATCTTGACGGATTTACTAACGGTTTGGTTTCTTACAAACGTTATTAACGTGGCTATGATTCTGGATGATTATTTATTTATACACTTATTATTCATAAGTGTGCAGTGTCATAACTACATCTCTGATGTTTATAACAAACCAACCCGTTTGAAAATCGGTAGAAAATTGAGCAAGTTATGGTTATTTAAAAAGTACATGCGCCATTAAAACACAATGTTACGAGTGAGCGAGCTGACTGTGACAAGATGGCCGCCAGTGTGGACGTCGACCTCCATTGGCCAGCAGCGCGGACGAGACATCTAGCCTTTATTATGGATACCTATGGTTTCTCCCTCATCTCTGCTTCAAGCTCTTGATAAATTGTGGCGTTTCTTTGCGGTTTAGAGTCCAGTATTCCCGTGATACTTTTATCTTTTGAGTTTAATGAAGAACTCGGTCTCGTCTTCTGTCCACACACGCCGCGCCATCTACATCAGGTGACCTGTAAATGTGCAAAAACTGTTTCCGGTGTGCGAAATATTCCTGAAAAACCACCTCATGCAAGCGATTGCAATTTCAATTTTCCGCAATTTGAAGGGTAATGGAAACGTGGCTACTGATATTCACTGATAGTCTTATAGTGAGCTGTTAACCCCTGGAAGGATTGAGTCAGCGAGTTGAACTCAATAACCCGATAACCGTTAACTGATTCATTGTAAAGATCTGACTCAAAAGAATGATTCATTCTGATTCATTAATGCTCCAAAGATTGCACATACATATGCTATGTTTTAATGATAAACAAGTTAAATACGAGTCTGTTCTTCACACTGATTTATCATATGACTTCAGAAGACATGGGGTATAGTGTACAAGCCCTTTTGGCTGTGTGAGCACACTACTGCAGTTTACTGTACTTTGGCCACAAGATTGTCTCGCATGTCTTGGGAGATAATTTCTGACATAGTCTGCAGATTTTAAAGTGTTTTGTGGACTATGTCCTGCACTCACATACACATGCGTGCGGTACGTAACATGATCTCTCTACTTGGTTTTTAAACGAATCTCCATGTTACCTAATAAACAATTTATGGCATCAGCTCTTAGCGATAATGAGGCCCATTCATTTTTAAAGTTCCCATGCACTTTCACGTTCTCAGACTCGATGGATGAGTAGCAAAAGGCCGTCTGGCCAGTACTGTAAACTGTGTTTCACTAGTTCACACTTACAAATAAGTTAGATAGAATAAATGGTATGCATATTTGGCGTGCTGTCCGGGGAGAGGGCTCCGGGCTCGGATATTTGGCCCGAACCCAAAGTACTCCCCCCGTATTGCTGGTTTAAGTAGTAACCAGGTGATTGTGAGGAGACGGGGTGGTGGAGGGATGCTGAAAAACTGTCGAAGAACATTGGTGAGTCAAATGTGTGTATATATATAGGTCTCCAACTCGAGCTGATTGGATAGACTTGTTGATTACTGATGGTCGACAGCTGGTTGGAATGATGTGATAATTGGATCAATTATTTGGACGTGCTCCTCCCGAACTTTGTTAATAAAACATCATGTGTGAAAATCAAGCTGTGGTAGCCTTTGCTGAGACTGTGATGACCACCATTCACTGGACCAGAGGGAATTTATTTCAGTAATCACTTCACTAAAATCAAAATACCCAACAATATCATGTTCTGGCAAACAACATCAACACCACTACGATAAACTTTGGCTGTCTGAACAGCTGCCAAGGGAATATCATGTCACGCTGTGTATTCTGCTGACAATAACCTTTGAGTAAACAGCAGTCGTACAGACAGAGGACATCAGCTCGTAAGATAGTGAAATTACAGACGTGTTTCACCAGTTCACATTCATAACACACGCCGCACAAATATAATTACGAGAACAGCAGGTGCATTGATTATTAGTTTACTTATCCATTGCGAGATTGTCAATCAATTTTATGTACGTGAACCTAATTTTACTTTTGTGCTGTAGATGTTATTTTAAAAATGGCACTATCAGCAAAATGAACGCCAGTGTAAAATTGATAAATGTACTGATAATCGGATGGAATAAAATGGTAGAACTTCAACAAAGAAAAAGAAATACTTATGGTAGTTGACCAAGTTATCAGCCAAAAAATCTTCTAAAACTCAATAACATCTATGGTGATGACCAACTGATAACATAAGGAAATGTGCTGCCCCGTATATTGACTCTGAAAGGCAATTAAAGCACCCGTTTAATATATGTCCCCCCAGAGACTTGATTGCACTGAAGTGTTTCTCAAATGTTTGGTGCTCGGAGTGGAAATTGCATGCCATTATCGGTAGGCATCGTCGTCTACATCCTTCCTTCCTCTTTGTGCCGCCCTGTTTCAAGTACTCTGATGCCTCGACTAGATGCATCAACTCCATCTGAAATGACAGCAGAAAACAAACTAGTTATTCCAAGAACAATCAAAGCCTGAGGAAATACAGCTCAGCCCAACAGGGGAGGGTGTTTGAGGGGCAAATGAGAAGATGAGGCCGTTTTCTGACTCTTGACCCTCCAAAGAATTGGAAAAGGGCTTTTTCTGACTTTAAAGGGGTCATCGGATGCCCATTTTACACAAGTTGGTGTGGTCTTCGTGTAAAGTTTGTAACATACTTAGGTTAAAATTCCTCAATGGTTGTGTAAAACAACACCCTTTTTACCTCCTCAAAAACAGCTTTGTTCACAGCGACCCGTTTCGGTGCATGTTTCTTTAAATGATAATGAGCAACTGCTCCCCTTTCTTCCAATGGGGGGTGTCGACACAAGACATGTAAAGTGATGCCTTGGCGGACAGTATACAAATATTCATATGTTTATCTCTGTAAAGCTGCTTTGAAACAATCTACATTGTTAAAAGCGCTATATAAATGAGGATGACTTGACTTGATAAATGGCTGAAGTGGAAATATGCTAATACGGAAAATATGCTAATACGGGACAGTCCGTCAGTGGTCGTGGGCTTGAAAAACAAAGAGTTTGACAGTCGTCGTTGGAGAGTCTGTGAGGCAAATCTTCTGGCACTGCCAGAATTTTATCTGAGGTAAAATTTGATCGCAACGGTCATTAATCAAATGGCTATAAGTTGACTTTAATCTTGCGATATATTGAAGGAGAAAACCCTCTTTCATGGAGAGGGATATTAGCCAAGAAGCACAAGATATTCAGCCCTGAAGTCATACAATTAAAGACTTCAGATTTTAGCCTAGGATCAGAGGAATCTTTTAGGATTTGCAAAATTTGTCTCAGACGGCCAAATAAATCGCAGTGTGTACCCGGCTTAAACTATATTGGCATTCTGTTTGAATGTCCTGATCTTTGTACGCTTCTTTTAAAGGAACAGATGAACACTGTCAATGTTTATTCTCCTTTATGTTGTTCTAACAGCTGTATGACAGATATTTTGAAACTTGATGCAGAAAGTTCACAAGTTATTTGGGCTGTGAATGTGGGAGTGTGTTTTTAGAGGTGTTTGGTGTAGTTTTTCCTCTGTTAAAGAAAGACCTCGGCTATTTTTGTTCGCTGTTCACTGTCCAGTGAAATTTGCTTTAAATCCGCCATGTTAAGTTGCAATGTGCTGTTTAACATAGTTTTTTACTTTGCATTTTACCTTTTACTCACAACGATGGCTATGCAAACAGGTTACATTCACAGAACATTTAATAGAAGAATATACTCTTTAGTTACTTAAAATGGCAAGTGACCACAAGTGATTCATAATACAACTTACATGAAGGAAAAAAATTAGCATATGGGTTATAAATGACTCAACTTTTCATTCTTGGATGAACTATTCCTTTAAGTTGCACTTTTAATATAACGCAGATCCAAAGAGAGCAACAAACCAGTAAGTTCACATTTTACATTCATTGGCGATGGGCTTGTTCTTTTACATTGTGTTTGTTGTCATTTGTCTTTGATTTATTTTACAAAACCACCTGCTATCCTCAAATAGTCGCTATGGAAACTGCATGTTTAATGGACGGGTCGGCTCTTGTACGAGACCCCAGAACAAAATGAGTTTGTCACATTCGGTCATCAGGTTCAGTTCAGCCCTCGGTTTTGCTTGCCATTCATGTCCTGGGAGCAAAAGTAGTTGGTGGCCTAAAATGAGTGGCAACGTTTCCACCATAACAAGCATTCCCAGAGGAAACTTCTATTGCTCAGAAGTTGCTCGTCCAAAGCTCTGTAGACTTATTGGAAAGCTCAGTTGTGTTTAATTAGGTATCAAGTTTCTTCAGCAAATTCTAAGGAGAAATGACAAGAGACACCAATTAAACACAGTTGACACCGTAAGAAACTGAGGTGGATAGCATAGCTAAAATTTAGGGCTGCCCCCTAATAGTCGACTAAACGTTAGTCGAACAAGATTTTATAAGTCGGTAAGTGGAATCACTTACGAAATCACGCAGTCCATGAGAAACGCCGTACATGAGCCGAAACTCAACTTTTGCTACTTGCCTCACAGACATGAGAAATATAAAATGTCTACTTTTAAACAAACCAATTCAAATACTCTCTGATTATGTAATCCATATGAAAGTTGCATTTCTCTCTATAGGCACATTTACTGCGGAGATGGCGAGTCGGCATCGTTAACTCTAACATCGTTTACATGACACCGTTTTCGACTAAAAACGTAAAACGTTTTATGCGCTTTGGCCATTCGTTTACACGACAGTGGCGTTTTGGGTGCCTGAAAACGGGTTTCGAAGTGCAAGTTTCTGAAAACGGTCTCTGTGTAAACAACAAAAACGTGAATCTCTGAAGACGATGATGTCATGCACATGCGTATTACGTGTTCAGTCTATAGTGTTTCATCGCCGTCTAACGGCCTCGCACCAGAATACAGCGTTTTTAGTTGTTTTCACCGATCCGTGTAAATGGGGATCGTTTTGACAATGGTGTCGTCTGTTCACGGAAAGCTCAAAGGAAAAACTTCTCCATATCACTGTGTAAACGTACCCTAAAATGTCTTCTTGATATTTTTTTGCGAAGTTTACAATCATTATTTTTGCCAATGCTTTGCTGCAAGCTTACATAATTAAATTAATATAGACGTGCGATTAGTCGACTAATGGCTTAAATGAACGACTACTAGTCGACTAGAAAAATCTGCCATAACTAGACATTATTTTTTTAGTTGTTTTCACTGATCCGTGTAAATGGGGATCGTTTGGACAATGATGAAAACTCAAAGGAAAAACTTCTCCGTATCATTGTCGTGTAAACGTACCCTAAAATGTCTCCTTTCTATTTTTTGCGACGTTTATAATCATTATTTTTGCCAGTGCTTTGCGGCAAGCTTACATAATTAAATTAATATAAACGTGCGATTAGTCGACTAGTAGTCGTTCATTTAAGCCATTTGTCGACTAGAAAAATCTTTAGTCCGAAATAACAACATGACATCATGACTTTGCGTAAACATACACGCCACTTTTAAGTCAAGTGGCGTGTTATCTATACGCATTTTGAGCTATCCTCAATGCTTTCGGTATGTCCACGCCGAAACAAACCGTCATCTTTTGCGTGTATGTCTACGCCGTTAAATGTCCGAGTGATTCGGCGTGTATGTACACGCCGTTAAATGTCCGAGTGATTCTGTGTGTATGTACACGCCGTTAAATGTCTGAGCAAAACGAAGCAAAATGTAGATCTACATCTGGGAGCGATATTTTTTTTCCTAGGATGATAGGGGAAGACTCATAAATGGTATTAACCCCAGTGACGGGTAGGTTTAGGGACGGGGTTGGGGTAGGTCATATATTTATATATACAGTAATGTAACGTTAAGTCAACGGCGTTGATAAACACGCTGAAAAGCGATTATGCGTGTTGATAGCACGCCAAAAATGGAAATACGAATTGGCGTGTCATACATACGCCATTTCATGAGATCAGTCTGGAAATAAGGCACTCAGTCCGAAATTCACGTCCGAAATTTTCGCACACGTTAAAAAATAAATACGACTTCACGTTATATCAATCACGCTTGCCTCTGAAACCTTCATCCGTCATAAAAAAAATCGTATCGGGTTCGGTTTTCTGCGTTTTCCGCATCTGAAAGCAGTTTGAATGGTGTTTTGACAATTCAGAGCCACCGAATCACGAATACGAAAAAACGCATACGAAAATTTCGGACTCAGTGTGCAAGGGCCTTTAAAGACATTTCATTCATGGTTTTCTTTCTGAGACTCGCCTAAACTTTTCTTTGATTAATTTGTGGCCATTAGAGCGCAAAGCAATGTCAGGCTGTTCAGCTGAGAAGCGATGTGTGCTCTCTCTATCACAACCATGATGCAGTCACCAGCATCAGCAGCAGTCAGCCTGAACCTCGGGACTCAGCTAGAGGTGGTGATGATAGAGGAACAGGGGTGGAGCATTTGGGTGACAGCTGGCCTCTATAAATAACCCCAGCGGGTGGAGGCGGAGAGCCGAATACACGTGGTGGATATCCTGCGGTGCACACCACATTGCCTCTTGGCCAATCAGAGGCAACCATGAGGCTATGAGCACAAGAGAGGTCAAATGATGCCAACGTATATGTCTAGTTTCAGTGGCCTATTTTATATATATATAATATATATATTGTAATTAGCAGAAGGGAGTGCAGATTAGATAACGCCAAGTGAAGGTGATGCTTGTGAATAGATAAATGATTAAGTCAAGCCTTTAACATCTTCAGTTACTGTGACATTCGGCTTTTGTGTCCACACAAGCAGGATAGTCTGTCATGGGAGAGATAAGGTGAAGGCACGTGAGCACACACAAAGTTTAGCAAAGATGAAGTACAACTTTAGCTTTAGGCTATTACCGTCAATGGGTCGTTTGAGTCATCTGAGCTAATTCGAATGGCCTTTTCATGACTCATCCTTTTATGTGAAATCACAAAGGCGGCAGCACCTGGGAAGAAATACACAGTAAATTATAAACATTCACTTCTAAGCAAATTATATGCACAAATGAGTCGAAATGTACTGTTACAGGCGTGTACAACATGAGCTTTTCTGTTGATAATTTTACCTGGCAGCATTGTGTAGTATCATTGATCCTCTGCAGTCTTCTTTGTTGATGAATGAACACCTGCTATGCAAATGCTAGCATTGCGATTTCATTCTTTCCTCTTGTCTTCCACAGCCTTTTGGACAATGGTGTTGCATCCCATCAAAAGATGTCTCAAAGATGCCGGAGAGCGCGTGGAAGCTGGTCTTCTACACAATGTCATGGTCATACAGCACCTACCTTTTGTTTTTCACTAGTTATTCCTTCTTTCAAAACCCTCCATCTGTGTTTTACGGTAAGCTTTAAAGCTAACACATGTCCTGTTTTTGCATGTAATAATTTTGTTAAACCCTGAATAGGCCTGAATAACTAAACCCTTGGCTTTTAAAAAGCTTTTTAAACAGATTACATGCTACTTTTGAAGGTGTCAGATGATACAAAATACAATTTAATGCTTAAATTGAGTGCTTAAAATGTACAGGATCCTTCCCAGGAAACTTGTGAAAGAGTTCAGATTTTGGGAAAGGCCAATTTGTTAAGTAAAACATTGTTGGTGATTGCTGTTATCAGTGTTAAATGTTTAATGACTAAAAGTCAGAATAAACATTAATATGAATGAATAAATATTAAAGGTCACAAGTTACTATTATCTGTTAACACTTCTTATCAATATAATTACAGTTATTCTGATTATCACTTATCAGGCCACTGATAACCATTTACGCTCCAATTGGTAGTTGCTGCATCATCTCACTACTCATTTGCATGAATGATACGATACTACTTTATTAATCCCAATAAAGATTATCACGATGCCAAAGATCGCTGTTGACGGAAACCATCAACTGTCATTGAAAATGAATGGCATCTTGAGAGTAATAGCTTTAATCTCTGCTATATCAGCATAAACCATCCACCAACGTTTTATGAGGCCAGTTTGACTTTTTGTCAGCAAGTCAAGGTCATTACCATCTAGTGTTGTTCTTTTTATGGTTGTGGAGTGTCACTGTTTTGTTCTGTCTTTTCGGTCTAGACTGGAAGAGTGGGATGTCGGTACCCACCGATATTGCGATAGCTTACCTTATCCAGGGCAGCTTCTACGGCCATTCGATATATGCAACGGTCTACATGGACGCATGGAGGAAGGACTCCCTTGTCATGGTGGTGCATCACTTCATCACTCTGGCCCTGATCACATTCTCCTATGCCTTTAGGTCAGGCAAATTTACGGGCTTTGTTTAATCTACAGCCTGTTTTTTTTTTTCTTAGTTACAACCAGGGTTTGAAATTAACACCCGCCAAATGCAGGTGAAAATCAACTGTGGAAGTTCGTGTAAGCCAAATCTGCGCAGATTTAGCGCAAATACTCAACTAGTGAGTCATCGTGATATATTAAATACAGCGTATTGCGCAGAATCTGCGTATATCTGGCTTACCTGAACATGCACGTCACTATGCAACAAACAGATGCTGGATGACAGGATTTTGTTTGAATAAGAAATTAATGTATAAAATCCAAATTTTATAATAGTTATAAATATTAGCTGGCATGTAGTTAGTCTGGTTCATTTCTTTCTTTCTTTCTTTTTTGGCCAATAGAAGTTCTGAATGGCCGGTAACATTAAAAATGTAGTAGCCAAATTGGTAGGTGAGGAAAAAAGTACATTTCAAACCCTGGTTACAACAAGAACTTGCATCTTAAAGAATAAATTATACAAAGAATTAGCTCAAATGATATGCCACTAAAAGCCACAGTTCATTAACCACTCATTTGTGTTTTTGAACATATCGTTCTCAGATACCACAACATTGGCATTCTCGTCCTCTTTCTCCACGACATCAATGACATTCAGTTGGAATTCACCAAGGTCAACGTTTATTTCAAGATCCGGGGAGGGAAAGAGTACTTCATCAATGACGTCCTGTCCAACATGGGTGCCGTTAGCTTTAGCATCACATGGTAAGGCTTGCCTGTTGATCAAGAAACCAGAAGCTATGTTTATTGATGCAAACATGACACAGCATGGAAAACTTATACAAGGCTCAAAGTGATTTGTACACGTAGACATACATCCTTTGTTGGTCCTGGAAAATTCCAATCAAATGATAATTACCCTCTGATTTTGCTCGATCAAAACCTTTTCTGGACCTACACTATGGAGCAAGGTAGATCTCCAGGAGCAGGATTGAGTAACCTTGGTTTAGGGAGGGGAAAGGATGATAGGAATGCTGTGCAAAAACAAAGGATGTTCATCCAGAAACATTCCCTACTTGATTAAATGAAGTTACCCATATAAGGGTCTATAGCAGGGTTAGGCAACTCTAACCGTCGAGGTCCACGGTCCTGCAGAGTTTGAAAAAATGTTCAGGATTACTTAGACATTACAGACAGGTGTTTGATTAGGGTTAGAGTTAAGCTCTGCAGGACAGTAGCCGTCGAGGGCCAGATTTCTCCAACCTTGTTCATGTAACAAATGTCCAGAGGATGCTCGAAAGATGTAGTTGGCTTCATCTAGTTTGTTCTTGACATTTGTGCAGGTTTTGGTTCCGTTTGTACTGGTTCCCCCTAAAAGTTATGTGGGCCTCCTGCGTCACCAGCATCCAGTCAGTTCCCACCATCCCTTTCTACTTCTTCTTCAACACACTCCTGCTTGCTCTGCTCCTCATGAATATCTACTGGTTCCTGGTAAGAATGGGTAGTTTCAGAAGACAGTGGCAGTATAGTAAGGCTCAGTGCTAGTAACCCAAAGGTTGCTGGCTTGAGCCGTTTAATGAGTCCACTGAGAGCTATTATCATGGTGCCCTTAAACAAGTCCAATAGAGAGGCCATAGGTTGCTCAAGAGTATTGTTTCCCAACCCTGGTACTGGAAAACTCCCAACCGTGCAAATTTTGGTTGTCTCTAAATCAAACACACCTGCTTTGACAGTCAAGATTCGAGACCTTTAATGGGTGTCAAATAAGCAAGTCATCCAAAATGTGTATGTCGGGGGTTCCTCCAGGAACAGGGTTAGAGACCACTGCTCTAGAGAGATTGTCCCAGGAATAAGTGTACTTTAAGTTGCTTAAGATAACATGTTCTACTAAAACGACTGCTGTTATCAGTGGGATCAGTTAGCTTATGTTAGCTACCTATCTAGCATATACTTTATCCCAAGCATCTTGTAGAACTACCTTGACAGATCCCATTAACTTTCCACTTGAATTTTAACCTACAAAGTAACTTTTGGTAACTAGCTGAGAACCTACCACCATTTAACCCTGTTCAAGTTGCATTTCTATGTTATTGCTATGAAATGTCAAGACATTTTGGTCTCTTTTAGTTCATCGTGCTGTTTGTGGCGAAGGTCCTGACAGGCCAGATGAAGGAAGTAAACGATGTCCGGGAGTACGAGGAAGATCATCTAAAGGAGAGAACAGACACTAACGATCAGACGTCTAACGAAGGGTATGTGGAGAAATGCAGCAGTCTGTGGTTCAGGTATACAGCATGTGCACGTAATAAAGAGGAAGTTGTGTGGTCGATTAGCAGTTGAGGCAGAATTGTGACTTGCCAATGTCTTCTACCTTAAAACATTGGTCCTTCAAAGTCCCCTTGTGAAGTTTCTACTTGCGAGTTGAAAAGGTGCAATTAAAATTTGTTGAGCGTTCAAATAATTTCTTTTGAACCAAATTGTTTGGTTATTCCTACTGGTAATTATAATTATGCGGTGGTGTACATGTGCACTTAACCCATAAATATGCTCATTCCAACCTAACTTTAAGGCAGCATAATGTTAATTTTCTGTAGTTTTGCTTTACCAAAAATGATAAAGCTAACTAGACCAGAAGAGTATATAAAACAAGGCCATATTCTACACTTGATTTCTGCCAAATCTGGGCTCCAGTTCTTTAAAAGTTTCACCGTTGGCCAGTGTTTGTTATAGCTCTAGATATTCTAACCACATGGTGAGGTAGCTTTGTGCCATACGCCTGTTGACATCAATAGCTTTAGGTTTAGGGTAACGCAATCTGAGATCACAGAGTGTGGCAGTCTCTTTTGACCTGATTGGCGATTGGATGAGAGAGCCGTCTCATGTAGATGTGACTATCGTCATGGCATTAGTCCTCTCCTTATCTGTCTGACCTTGAAGTGAAGTGATATCCGACTACGCCACATGCATCCTGTGATCACCTCTTTCTAGCCTAACTCTGTGCGTTTTTATGCATCTTATTTCCTCTTAGGAACCATGTGCAGAATGGGACCAGCAAGAAGAAACATCAATAATATCTAGATGCTGCCATCTGCAGGCACTTAACCATGACTGCAAGGTACTTACGTGACCTAGTTTGATTCTAACCTCGGACCGCCAAGGTGATTGGACAGTCATACAGAGAACAAGAAACAAATCAACCATCGTCTTTGTTTTTGTTAATCACTGTAATTGTAATATAATCATAGCACTGTGAATGTTATTTGTTATTGCTTTAAAAATGTTAATTTAAGATAAACGAGTAAATTAATCTATTATTTTTTAAATCAGGAACTTATTTCGGGAGTGACTTGAATATCTTTGGATATGAAATACAATACCATGCATTTAGGAGAACAGTGGAACACATTATAATCAGGTTTTGTGGTTGACAGTTTGTTTGATTAGATTTAGACTTTTTGTTTTTCTGGTGTATTTTAATTCCAGGAGTGAAGGCATTAAAAAGGGTTAGTACGTATCTTGTTGTAGTGAGTACTAGTGGAGTGGTTCTCAATTGGTTGAAGATCTGTTCAGAAAAGGAGGGGAAGGCAATGTTAAATTCATATAATGTTAATGCAAATAATATTAACCATGAAATCATGCATAGTTAGGGCAGTAAAATAAGTGGAAATTCTTACCATATCTTTTGTTGTTGGCATCAAAGGGCAGGCTGTACATCCAATCACACTCAATGGTATTTCGTCACAAAATTCATGTTCTTTATTATTATAAAGTCAAAATAGACATATACCAACCATAACTTTGCAAGGTTAAAAAAAACACCCAGACTGCAATAAATATTGGTTCATATTGGTCAGAAAAAATAAACATAGGTAGATATTTTTCTTGTTTCAAGTAAAAACTTAATTAATTTTGATATATTCGTCAAAAAACAGAACTTAATATCTAATGTAATTTTGCTTTTCAATATTTATCTTGAATTTAGAATGTTTCGTTATTTGTACTAAAAAAGGATACAGAATACTTTCATGGTAATATTAATACATTTCATGTTTAAAGGAACACTCCGACTTTTTGGGACTTTAGCCTATTCACCTTATCCCCCAGAGTTAGATAAGTCCATACATACCTTTTTCATCTCCGTGCGTGCTATAAGTCTGTTTGACGCACCCACCGCTAGCCTAGCTTAGCACAAAGACTGGATGTAAATGGTTGCAGCTAGCATACTAATTCAAATAAGTGACAAAATAACGCAAACATTTTCCTATTTACATGTTGTGATTTGTATAGTCACAGAGTGTACAAAAAACAAAGTCACATGAGACACAGACATATTTTAACAGTATAAATACTGGGAACTATATTCTCTGAAGGCGAAGCACTGCTACTTGGGCGGAGTGATAACCGCAGCACCTGAGACGCGCCGTGGTGAGGAGCAGAGAGCGCTTCTCAGGTGCTGCGGTTATCACTCTGCCCAAGTAGCAGTGCTTCGCCTTCAGAGAATATAGTTCCCAGTATTTATACGGTTAAAATATGTCTGTGTCTCATGTGACTTTGTTTTTTGTACACTCTGTGACTATACAAATCACAACATGTAAATAGGAAAATGTTTGCGTTATTTTGTCACTTATTTGAATTAGTATGCTAGCTGCAACCATTTACATCCAGTCTTTGTGCTAAGCTAGGCTAGCGGTGGGTGCGTCAAACAGACTTATAGCACGCACGGAGATGAAAAAGGTATGTATGGACTTATCTAACTCTGGGGGATAAGGTGAATAGGATAAAGTCCCAAAAAGTCGGAGTGTTCCTTTAAGCACTTCTTTAAACCTTTGCATGATACACAGACCCCCGGCTTTACAGACAAGGCTTAAGTCTAGTCCCAGACTAAAATGCATGTTTGAGCTGTTTTACCGAAAAGCAACTTGTACAGACATATCTTAAAATATGACTCAGTGCCATTGTTTTGTCTCAAGATGCACACCAGTTTTTTTCTAAGGCATGTTTATAAACGCTACTTAAATGTCCTAATTGTGCTAAAGCCTAATCCTGGCTTAATCTAAGCCCTGTCTGTGAAACCGGGCCAATATACAAAATTAGTGTCCTGAAGCAAAACCAGTTGAGAACCACCGTACTAGAACATCAGTTGCCTTGTTTAAAAAAAAAAAAAAAAAAAAAAACCATCTACTAACTACACAGGTTACCACCTAAAAAACAAAAATCAGCCTGATCTGCATCAATCAAAATCATGTTTGTAGCCTACAGTATTACCGTGTTTGAATGTAGATAACTGAAAGGGGATCCCTTTAAATGTTTGGATTATAAAAATACTGCTTGCATTCAGTGGCTTTTCCCCCCTGCGAGCATCCGTTGCGTGATAGAAGCTAGCGTCGGATTGACAAAAACAATTATTTAAAAAAAAATCATACACTCCGATGATATTGTTTATTTTATATAAATACGGATGGAGAACTTTAGTGGAAACAATGGTTAGTCGTAGAAGCTTATTCAGTCCGTTACAATGGAGAAACATTACTAGCTACTCAAATTAATCAAAGTATGTAATGCAAATGTCGTACGCAGGAACGCATGAGATTTGAGAATATGCTTTACGAAATCACGCCACAAAAGATTAAATGAAACTGATATCATCTGTCGTGACGCACTGATCACTCCAAAACTATCGCAATACTTGAATACTTTATTTGCCTGCTGTATCAAAAGTTCTGTTGTGTATAATAATGCTCATAATCTTCGCGTTCAGATGCAATATTGTGCACGGATGCTGATGAGATCTGCACGTCGCCGAGGTCTTCCGTTCGTAATGCTAGCTTGCGCTAGCCGTTTATGATTTGGGGTGTTTTGTTGTTAAAGAGATAGTTCACCCAATACGATGGCAAATATATTTTTAATATTCTTTGAATCTATTGAAATGCTTAGTTGTTTTCTGAGCTGAGTTTCTCCCGTGTAAACGTTAATTATAAACAGCAGACGTCGTCTACAATGGTACTCTTGAAGAAGCGTCAGTTTCTGGTCTCTAACGTACTTTTCTTACCCGGCATTGTCACATCACTGGAATACAACGTTGTACATGCAGTTCTGGCTAAATAATCCTCATTCTGCGAAACTTTTGCAACATTTACACGCAGCTTCTTGGAGTCATTACGCAAAAAGGGTAGCATTAGCTAGTCATTATCTTACGATAACTGAATTTCCACAGCGTCAAATGCACATGCGCTAAATTTTCCCCCAAAAAACTTGCCTTACCAACTAGAAACAAAAGTTAAACGCCGCCATACACTCCTCTGGCCTTTTATAAAAAAAATGTCCTCTATAAGTTCTGGATCGTTTGTTATTAATTTCCATTCAACACTGTTCTTTTCAGTCAGAATGCAAGTGTGGAGAGCGCTAAATGATTTAATCACATTGAGAACATACTTCAAATATGTTAATTCTCTTGAAAAGTGCCAAAAATAAAAACCTTGGTATATTGTTATATCTTGGTTATCGACATATTTAATTGTTGCACTGTAATTTTATTACTACGGTTAATTTTTTTCCTATATGAATTTTAAAAAAAGAAAAAAAAGTGGTAACGAGTGGATTTATACTGATTAATTTAACATTGAAAAAGGTTCTTTTATTTGTTTTAACATTTTTCTTGGACCATTTATTCACTCTTTTCCTCTATTTTGATCTGATCAGAAGGAGTGACAGGTATTATCTCAATTGTTATTGAACTATTTCAATAATTTCAGTTGAATTGGTGAATTGAAACAAGTTGTCATGTTTTTCCATTCAATAAAAACTGTGCAAAGAAACCAACTGCAATGTGTTCTTAATTCAACAAATGCCTTTATTTTTTCATCCTTCTCCTTAAGAGTCAAGTTTATGTACCTCTGATTTGTAAAGTTAAATCAAGTTTGGAGAACAAAAAAAAAAAAAATGTAATCAGTGCATGTTGAAGCGTCTCAGCTTCCATAAATAACAGCAAATTTGTACCACACTGCTTCCTAATAAATAGTGAAAACAGAACTGGACTTCGGATGTTAAAACGACATGTGGAATAATGAAATGGGAGTTATAAAGATCTTGAGAATCATGGAGTTAATAATATTACTCTTTTAAGGAAAAAACTTTAGGATAAAATAATCTGCAACACATGAAATGCATATTTTCGGTTTCCAAACGTCACAATGTAATACTCACTCCGAAGAGAATCAGCAGTTTGAGTCGAGACTCGCGTGACAAACATTGAGAATCAATATTGAGCGTCAACAGACTTCAACTCAAACAGCAACATTTTTGGCCCACTTTGTAGCTGCCAGTGAAGAATAACCACATTTCTGGAAGCAGTTCATGACGGCAATTAAACAACCACAACACACCGAAATGTAAAGTTTGCCTGATTAAATTAACTCCGTTTGAATGATTATGGATTGCAGTTTTCAGGAAACAGAACTTGAGGCAACATCGAGACCAGGAAGACTTGAAAGGCAGATGGAGATGTAGTGGATGAAACACTTGGCATGGAAATTAACGTACATTCTCAAAAAAGTAATCAATCAATCAAAAAAACTAGGTGTGATGTAAAGAAAGCAAACACACTCTTGGCTCCTCGTATTGCAGGTGCGTGAAGAGACGGCCGGCCACGGGTTAGTGTTGTTTGACCCGAGGAGCCGTGACTCTACGCAGGAAACCGTACAGAAATCCAAAATTCTACAGGAAAACAAGAATTAAAATGGTTTTGTTATTACAGTAATGACATATGTATACATATATGGTCTAAGGTTACTATGATAATGACAAATATGTATAAATATATGATATGGTTACTACGGTAATGATAAATATGTATAAATATATGGCCTAAGGTTACTACGGTAATGACAAATATGTATAAATATATGATATGGTTACTACGGTAATGATAAATATGTATAAATATATGGTCTAAGGTTACTACGGTAATGACAAATATGTATAAATATATGATATGGTTACTACGGTAATGATAAATATGTATAAATATATGATATGGTTACTACGGTAATGATAAATATGTATAAATATATGATATGGTTACTACGGTAATGACAAATATGTATAAATATATGATATGGTTACTACGGTAATGATATATATGTATAAATATATGGTCTAAGGTTACTACGGTAATGATAAATATGTATAAATATATGATATGGTTACTACGGTAATGATATATATGTATAAATATATTAGGGATGTCCCGATCCGATCACGCGATCGGAAATCAGGCCCGATCACGTGGTTTCAGACTCGATCGGAATCGGAGGTTACCTCCCGATCAGGACTCGGATATATGTAAATTAGGGGTGTAACGGTACATGTATTCGTAATTATTGAACCGTTTCGGTACGAGGCTTCCGGTTCGGTGCGCATACAAACCGAACGATTCCTAGGACCATTTTTTCCTGCAGACAAAATCCGCGCTGGCGCGATCACCACAACGTTGCGCAACATCAAATGGCAAACGTAATGAAAGCGGAACGAAACTGCGCTTCTCATTATATTGTGCTTAACGGACCATTTTCAGTTCAGACCAGCAACATCTGTGCAGCGCGAGATCAAGCGACACTGTGCTAAGAGATCCAGTGAAGAAAACATTTGCATTCGCCACTGAAGTAATAACATCGCTGCGAGATCTAGTGAGAAGCATTCACATTTCTCCGTTATTAACCGTAGATCTCTATTAGATCAAACAGCGCTGACGTGGGAACCAGGAGAAACATTGTGCCGTGAATGAACATGGATTTAATGTTGCACTTCAAAACTCAAATATTATATAAATATATAATTAAATGTTATTTTTAATGTGATTACCAACACATTATTTGTTCATCCTTCAAAGATTACCCCCATTTATAAACCTGAAAGTTTCAAGATGTAGGAAAACTCAAACTTATTTAAAAATAGTTTTTCTTTTAATAAATAGGAAATTTCTCTGGCATTTCTTTCTTTTTGCTGTATCGTGTCGAACTGAACCGCAAATTTTGTGAACTGTTACACCCCTAATGTATATATATTCTCATTATTTTTTTATACACTTTTTAAAACATTTTTATTTTTTGTTTACATGCCTGCCGGGTATTTTAAGTTGAGGTGCTATTAGTTTTTATATTAGACTTCTATATTTACTCTTGCACTAAAGTCAAAAAGTGAAGATTTTATGTTATTTATTACTTGATTGTTCAAGCTACCTCACAGAAGTGCTCTGTTTGTTAACAGAATTGTTGAATGTTAAAATAAGTTGAATTAAATAAAAAATAAGGAACATCCTGGATCTGTTTTTTCTCTCTTCTTTATTATTTTTTTTTGTATTATATAAGAATCGGATCGGGACTCGGTATCAGTAGATAGTCAAAATCAAATGACTCGGAGGCAAAAAAACCTGATCGGGACATCCCTAAAATATATGGTCTAAGGTTACTACGGTAATGACAAATATGTATAAATATATGATATGGTTACTACGGTAATGATAAATATGTATAAATATATGGTCTAAGGTTATTACGGTAATGACAAATATGTATAAATATATGATATGGTTACTACGGAAATGACAAATATGTATATATATAGTATATGGTTACTAAGGTAATGATAAATATGTATAAATATATGGTCTAAGGTTATTACGGTAATGACAAATATATGATATGGTTACTACGGAAATGGCATGTATATATATAGTATATGGTTACTATGGTAATGACAAATATAAATATATGGTCATCATTACGGAAATGACAAATATGTATAAATATATGATATATGGTTACTACAGTAATGACAAATATGTATAAATATATGTCATATAGTTATTTTTGTAATGACATGTATAATATGTTTTTTACAGTAATGAGAATTATATATAAATATATGTTATATGGTTGTTACAGAAATGACAAATATGTATAAATGGTATCTGGTTATTACTGTAATAACAAACAGGTATAAATATGTTTATTATGATAATGACAAATATGTATAATATATGGTTATTACGAAAATAACAAATATATGTATTTTTTCCAGTTTTTTTGGTTATTGCAAACAAAAACTGGGACCATAAATAATATTTCCGTTCCTTTAAATAAAAATTAATAAAAACTATGTAAACATATTTTTTAAAACTAATAAAAATGAGAAAACAACAAAATTACTAAGACTTTAACAATAAAAAATTAAAAAAATTATAATAAAAATATTAACAACTATAGTTGTATCTCAATCATACTAAAATAACAGTGATATATATAAAAAAATATATATTTATACAATAACTAATGAGAACATGTTGTGAAAATGTGCTTAATTGTCTTGAAAACATGTGGTTAGATATAACAACATAAAATATAAAAAATAAAATGGCAAAAAAAAAGCATTTATATGATAAAATATAATATATTTATTTATAGATTGTTTATAGATGGCATCGCAGTAATAAGAACATGTTGTGATATGTATTATTAATATAATATAAATAACGTCTAATAATATATATATATATATATAAAGTAAAGATAAAACAGGTTAAAAATATAACATTTATATTATAAAATAATGTGAAATGTGACCTGGACAATATATGATGCATGCGAAGAACACAAAAAAAATTGTGTGAACTAAATTTCCAGAATATTAGTCTTACCAGGACGGCCAAATACAGCACTCCAAGATAAGCTGCGATACAGGCGGCGAGCAGCAGGTCAAAGATCGCTGGTTTTACCCTGGTGTGTGTCAAATGCAACAACATTATTCAAACAGCAATTTTAATGTAGGGTTACGGCCATTTTTAACCCTGGGTTAAGCAACATTTAGCACTTGTAAAGCTGAACGGGGTCAGTTATTAAGGTTATTCACCAAATGTCAACTCGTCTTTAGTTTAAACCTGCTTTCAATTCATTACTAACCCAGGTTTAATTATGAAATCCATAATAATATAATGTTTAATAATCCTAGATTAACACTGCAAACCTTAAAGGGATAGTTCACCCAAAAATAAAAAAGTCTGTCATCATTTACTCATCCTCAAGTTGTTTCAAACCTGTTTGAGTATCTTTGTTCTGCTGAACACAAAAGAAGATATTTTGAGGAATATTTGTAAGCAAACAAATATTCTTTATCCATATATTTTTTATCCATTGCTTCACAACTGTTCGGTTACAAACATTCTTCAAAATATCTTCAAAAAAGTGTCATTTTGAAGTGAACTATCCCTTTAAAAGGTTGAAAAGAAGTTTTATTGACAGTCTCACCTATAAGCATTCATGGTCTGCTTAAGTTGATCATAAAAGACAAATTCAGGATCCCTGTCAACAAATGACAACAAAAAAACCCATTAAGCTCTGAATATCCATTAGAAATGAACACGGAAAGAGCGAGCGCTTCACCTCTTGTCGGCTCGGACCAGATGCCTCTTGACGTCCTTCAGATAGCGGTTCAGGTAATACTCCAGTGTGTTAACTATGCTACTGTCTTTATCCAGCAGCTGTGCGGCCCGTGGCTGTGCCGTCAGCCAGTCCACCAGTGACTCCAGCTGGTCCTCCTGCACCTGCTGTTGGGAATACAGGAGCGCACTTAAATACTTAAGGGTTAATGACCGACGAGGTGTCCATTGTCAGGTATTAACGGACGACGGCGAGGCGTGAACCGTCCGACGCGCAGCGGAGTCCATTAATACCTGACATGGACACCTCGAAGGGCATTAACCTGCTAATACCACGATCACCTGCCAAATAACACATTAGTTTATATTTTAATTAGTTTTACAATCGAAATCTAAAGTTTTTACAAACAATAACTTGGTTTCCCTGGTTACGCCTGACGGTTTATTTAGCAAGCGGAGATATTTATAGTGCGCTCAGCTCGGAGAAGCCTTCAGTTTAGCTAACTTACAAGCCAGAAACTTCACATGTTTTTTTCCCTGTAAGTTAGGCTTGTCTAGCCATGGGCGTTACACTTTCATTTTATTTAACCTATAATTAAAACACACAGGTAGGCGTAGTATAACGGCTAACTAGATGTTTGTTTTGATACAATAAATGGTAACCGGATACGTTGACTGCCTGTTGCTATGGTTACTCACAGATTTTTTATTAATCTCGAACGGTAAACAGTCAGTTTCACCAGAACTCCTTTACTAGGTGTCCTCTATCACCCTGCAGCCAATCAGAATCGAGTATTCACCCAGACCATGGTATAAAGAACAACAAACACCAGGAACAACACATCACGTTTACAGCGACAAAAGCAAACATGCTGAGAAGTGTGTAAGAAAGACAGCTAGTGGTGGAAATAGGTACTGCAGTCCAAATTCAAAATATCAGAGACCCCCCTACTAGAACAGGTTTTTCTGCTTGATTGTTGATGAATAGCAACTTCTTTTTAAGGCGAGACACTACAGGTGAATAGGGTAATTTTTTTAACTAGCAGATATCACCATGAAACTTTCCCAGTTGATTACCTACATTAAGATGAGGAAAAAAAATGTATTACAAGTTCTGTAATTGAATGTTTAAATATGCAAATTAGGCATTAACTAATTAAATATGCGCTAATTTGCATATATTTCAAAAAGTGAAATCTGAGTATTGGATAAAGCCAGGTTCAAAATTATTTTTTCATTGTGTTCACATATTAGATGGGAAAAAAATTACAGAGGGATTTATGGATATCTACTTTTGTTATCCTATAAATCAGAATCAATAGCCTTAAAAAAATGATTTTTGCCATGTTTTTTTGAATAAAATGTTATATAAATCGGGCTAGGAATAATATATTTACAAATCCCTCTGTAAATGTCTTCATAATATAACTAGGTACACGACTGGAAAGTTTGGTGTGTATAGGTGCTACCGAAGTGGAGATTTCGGACTTTGAGTATGAGAGAAAAGTAATTTTGAGAAAACGGGCTTAAAAGATTTAGCATCAGCCAATGAGATTGCGCATTTGCGCCCTTTTACTTTCACGATTGGTTGCTGATAAAAAGGAAATGACCATATTTGGATCCAACAACATTGTACAAGAGAGAGAGAGAGCTTCAGCTTTCTAACGGTGTGTGTGCTGACAGGGTGCAGATCGCGATCGCGGAGCAACGGATGATTTAGATCGCCAACTTTTGATGAATTTATGATAAATCTACAGACGCAAACAGACAAAGTGCAGTAAAATAAAGACCTAAATGTGTATTTCGGACTTTTTTTCACCACAAGTCTGAAAGAAGACATGTTTTGAAGACAAATATCCCGAAATCTCAAAATTGACCAGTGAAAAAAAAAAACTGTTTTTGCCTGCCGTGTCTCGCCTTAACTGCTATAACGTTAACTGTTGTGAGTTAAAATAATCACCTAATTTTTTCAACCTAAAAATGACCTCTGCACTGGACTAAATATATGTATAATATATGACTGCCGAGTCGCTTTCACCCCAAAATGGCGGACGGGTAGGGCTGCTGCTGGGCGCTGGTGTTGCAATGGAACGTTCTATTGGCTTTCACTTCTTCAATATACGTTCTTTGGTAACGCTCTGTTTACTTCCTGTCTCTATGAAGCCCCTCCTCCTGAAAAGCACACTGTGCTCTGATTGGTCAGCTTGAGCGAAGTGATGTGATTGGTCGAGCGCTTTGTGTTTGGGAAATGTCCCGCCCCTTTCCATAACCGCCAGTTTAACACACTACTAACTCACTCAACCAGGCCCCGCCCCTTTATTCTGCATATGAATTATTATAATAAGGAATATTGTGACGTGTTCGTTCCCGGACGAAACTCAAGACTACAATGAGTACAATGAATTCAGGTTGTTTTGTAACTTAAACGTTTTGTTTATAACTTTGCGGAGCTTTTTCATGCTCAAACAGCAACATTACACGCTAAAGAAAGATGAACATAGACAGCAGATTTTGGGAAGTTTATAATGTCATCCGTCCATCTTGTCATACTCACCATCTGTTCAGTGAAGATCTCCAGGTCTCCGCTGGCACCCTGGGTGAAACAGGACAATTACCACACGATTAAAAGCCACATTTTGAGCTTCATGATGGCAAATGGTAGGGCTGCACAATTAAGGGAAATAAAACCAAAATTGTGATATGTCTTAGTGCCATTATTTAATCACAAAGTCTACAATTTAACAAAAAAAAAATAGTGTTGAAAAAATATTGCATTGTAAAATAAAATAACTATTCTTTATTATTAGTAGCAGTAAAAAAAACTAACTTAAATACTCCATTTCTTTATTTTACAGTAAAATATTACAACAATAATATTTCTCATTTTGTGTAATATTGTTATTTGGTAATAAAATAATGACAAAATGTCTAATAAATGTAAACTATAATATAAATTTAATATTTATAATATTTTATTATTACTATATTGTAAACTATAATATAAATTTATTATTTATAATATTTTATTATTACTATATTATATATAATAAAATAATCTAAAAAATACACTGTTTAAAAATCAGTCAAAACAGTGTTTACTATTTTAACTAATATTACTATTTAGCAATAATAATAAAATATTTCTAAATAAATATATCTAAATAAATGTAATAAATCTAAATTATATACAGTATATATTATATATATTTATAATTAAATATATACTGTATATAATTTATATTTATTACATGAATATGACAAGCTTCATATATATATAAAAATAATGACCAGTTTAAAAAAAAAAAAAACACATTATAAATCTAAATCTTTATAAAAAAAAAAAAAAAAAAAAAAAAAAAAATCAATAAAAATTAAATTACCGGTAGTTAAATCGTAATTAAATAATTACATTGTAATTAGTATTTTTTGTGTGGTTTTAAAAAGAACACCCCCCACACACATACACACAAAATGTTTATAAAAACAAATGAAATGTAAATACATATCAATATTTGCAATGAAAAAGCCAAATGAAGATGATGCCGCATTACTTTCTCCGTCAGGTTGTATATCACTCTCGCCAGCGTTTCTGCGATGACTTTAGTGTTGCGAGTGAGTTTCGCCAGATCCACGTGAGGCCTACGAGAAACGAGAAACGCAACAAACACGACATCATCAATGGCAGCAACCAATCAGCGGCGAGGGAGGGAACTAACGGTGTGGCGGCAGAGAGAGAGCACCAATCATCACCCACCCAGCGGTGGCCTGTCCCGACACTGACCGCATGTCCATGATGGAGTGGCGCTCGGCGCTGCGGTGGCTCTCCAGGCGGGACAGGGTGAAGGCGGGCAGGCGGCGGATGCCGAAGCGCTCATGTTCCCACGCCAGCGTGTCGTCCGCCAGGTTGATCTTCTTGTGGACCATTGAGAACTTCAGCTCGGGGTGCTGATGGGCCGCCACCTGACAGTGAGAGATGATGATGACCCGCCAATGCGTTTGACATCACAAGGACTTTTCCGTATTAAAGAAAGAACCATTCTAGTCGACTAGTCGTCGTTCATTTAAAGGTGCAGTGTGTAATTTTTAAAGACATCTAGTGGTGAGGTTGAGAATTGCACCCAACAGAAATTACGGTGGCAGACAAAGCCAGTTAACCAATGAGCTTTCTTTACAAAGACAAATTAAGAAATTAGGTTTAGGCCTACTTAATTATTCAGTAAAACGATGTTACTGTGGATATTATTGTTACTTGTTCAGCATATTCGCTGACTTTGTAGCTTCTTTGCACGAAGAACGACATAGTGACGAAGCGTGTTTGTCCGTTTGGGGCTACCGTAGAAACATGTAAACATTTGCTGGTAACGTTATCTGTGTTTTCGGCTGCAGATATTAAGACAACGATGCTGACTCGTCATCTCCGCGCCTATCTGCACGGTTCATACGGATTACCGTATTTTCCGCACTATACGGCGCACCGGATTATAAGGCGCACCTTCAATGAATGACCTATTTTAGAACATTTTTCATATATAGGGCGCACCGGATTATAAGGCGCATAAGATACTGCAGTCAAACGTTTGACTGGGTTTGCGTTATCCACTAGATGTCAACAAATGTCAACAAAACAGTCAGATAAAGTCAAACTTTATTAAGCGTTCTGACAACTCCGTTCACTCCCATGGTAACGTTGTTCAAACGTTAAAGGAAAACTCCGGTCAATTTTAACATTGAGCTCATTTTTTGTAAATTGGGAGTGCTGTCAGTACAGATAACAACGACAAAAACCGGTGTTGCCTACACCGTGTTATCCTCTTTTTAAAATTTGCACCCTGTTGACTTAAACGGGACAAGTTTTAAACCTGCTTTTAGCCTCTTAACAACCTTAATGTGTCATTACAAGTGCACAGCCGAGCCATGTGAGTGAACACGGTGAATCTGACTGCACATACCCGTATTTTCTTCCTGTTTTCGGTCGAAGTCCACAGTAGGCGATTGTCGAGTGAGTGCGCGATCATTGGTAACTAAGCAACAGCGGAGACTCAGACTGTCAGCTGTCAGCCGATGACGGTGCTGTGTGGTGTTCTGAGAATATCAGCTCAAATGGATAGTTCATCCGAATCAGATGTTGAACACACGGAGGAGGTTTGATCGCGCGCGCGCGCGAACTCGACAATCGACTATTGTGGACTTCGGCTGAAAACAGGAAGTAAATACGGATATGTGAGCTGGCTGAATAAAGAGACTATTCCTGCCTTTGTGAAAGCTCGGATCACAGTTGAGACTGATATATCAGCCCAGGCATCCACGATCCATTGGCAGATAGTGGCGTAAGTCGCCCCGCGCTGTCTCCCCGGCTTGGTGAACGTGTGTTCACCATCCATATATAAGGCGCTCCGGATTATAAGGCGCACTGTCGTTTTTTGAGAAAATTAATGGCTTTTAAGTGCGCCTTATAGTGCGGAAAATACGGTACATAATCTGAGAATTTGTATTTTCCATTTGAATCGGTTCATTCAAATGTAGACATTTCAAGCTTTCTACAGATATATTCCTCATGTCTGTGAGGCAGGCATACGCAGAGTTTCGATTTCGGGTCATTCATTGTGATGCGCACAAGTTCACCGAGACCTAATCGACAGAAAGCGCCATTATTTTACAAAAGCGAAATGTTTTGTTGTTATTGTGAGTTAAAAATAAAAATAAGAAAAGTAGACCCTTTACAGTTTGCCTTGCTCTTAAAGGGATACTCCACTTTTTTTGGAAATAGGCTTATTTTACAACTCCCCCAGAGTTAAACTGTTGAGTCTTACCGTTTTTGAATCCATTCAGCCGATCTCCGGTTCTGGCGGTACCACTTTTAGCATAGCTTAGCATACATCATTGAAGTGCTGCACTACACGCCTGCTGCTCTCATGGTACGGCAGTGAAGTTTCTGTATTATTACGCAGGAATGAGAGTATAGTTCCTAGCCATATCAGCCTAGAAAATCGCAACTTTACATTTTCCGTCGGTCTTAGTGCACGATGTAGTCCAGTTTTAAATAAGGAAAAATATCGAAACACTTTGGTCATTTTTTTTTTTAGAAACGCTAATGGTCTTGTCCACTTCAATGATGTATGCTAAGCTATGCTAAAAGTGGTACCGCCAGAACCGGAGATCGGCTGAATGGATTCAAAAACGGTAAAACTCAACAGTTTAACTCTGGGGGAGTTGTGAAATGAGCCTATTTCCAAAAAAAGTGGAGTATCCCTTTAAGTGTATGACCAAAAAATGACAGAGTATTTTAAGTTAAACTGAAGTGATGTAAGTCATGCAGTGAGAGCTCTCCACACAAACACTTGAATACGCCCTAACAATAGCGCACATCTGTCTAGGTTAGCATTAGAGCGAGCGGACTTCATGTTTCAAGTGATTAGCCATATTTAAGGTTGATAAATGATAGGCCAATAACGATCTGTCCGTTACAGATTTCGGGAGGTTGTTTTTTTTCTTTCTGCGACTAACCGACTAATAAAATGGTGGTTTTTATTAGCGGTTACTCCACTATTAGGGGGCAGCCCTACTCCGGGAATATTTCTCAGTAGCGAGCGGATAGTCTTACGGTCTCCAGCTCTTTGAGGAGGGTGTGCTGTGGGCTTCCCTCTTTCGGTGGCTTGGACACATGGAGGTGAAGGTTGTCGCTGTTACCCAGAGTGTCCAGACACAAAACAAACGCCACGTTGTCCTGGAGAAGACTGGAGTCTGAGAGACGAGGACGAGGTCAAAGCTTTAGTCTTTTCTCTTCAATTACATTGGTTTTAAACAGCTTGCGTTTTGCACAATTGTTATTGTTGTTATTATTACTAAATGAATGCTATTAACCCTCTGGGGTACTTCATTTTAGAGTCACACTCAGGACCTTCGGGTCAAAAATGACCCGGAGGGCGGCATTAAGATACATTTTATTTGAGTAAAATCAATGAAATATATTTTTGTTCAATAATATTTTTCTTTTCTTTTTTGGTGTTGAGATAATTTTATGATTTATAATTAATATTTATGCAATAATTAAGACCCATTTTTTCCCATTGAACATAATAGAAAATTTATATATATATATATATGTATATATATATATATATATATATATATAAAAAATTTTTTTATTAAAGCTGTATTTCATTTTAGAGTCAAGTCTAGGCCTCATGAAAGCAATTTTTGAAATGAGATCGGAGCCATCTGGTGGACACACTGAGCATTTTTATCACGCAATAGCACATTTTTACCACTAGTGGATTTACAGCTCTCTGTAGAAACCTATGGTAGAAACACTCTAGTGAATTTTTCATATATTGTTTAATTTTTTTCAGGTTGTTGATTTGAATATATAATAACAGATTCTCACAGACTATTTTTGTCATTTAAAAAAAAAAAGAAAAAGAAAAAGAAATGTTGTGTGCTTTTTTTTCTGCATCCTGGATGTTTTGTAGATTGTATGCACAAAAAAACTCTGTATTTTCACATTTTTGCCAATTTCCCATTCATTTCCTATGGGGGTCATTTTTGACCCGAAGGTCCTGAGTGTGACTATTTTGTTTTAAGACCACTTAGACTTTTCAAATCCTGTCCCCAATTTTTTTGGGTGTTCATATACCAAGTACCAAAAAAGTCACCAAGTTAGTTCGGACCATTCCGATGAAGCTACCATTTTTAACATTTTTTTTTAAAAACGCTTCGGGACATTTTTGTCCCGAAGTACCCCAGAGGGTTAAAGTAAGAACTATCACTATTGTAAGTATTTAAGACAAACAATATTATAATATTTGATTTGGAAATTTAGGAGCACAATGGAAATATATCTAAGATTTGCCTTTTCTTAAAAGTATTTATTTTTTATTTTTTATAAAACTATAAAACTAAAGTATTGTAATATTTGACAATAAAATATTTTTAAAAAACAATACAAATTAAATCAAATACTTTCCGTGATAAAGGGAAACTAGAAGACATTTAAAAGTACAATTATTTCATATTAGCAGCATATTTTTCCTAATAAAGATTGCAATTAATTTTTTTTAAAGCTTCAGATTTGCTGCGTATTATCATTGTTAATATTATTATTACTAAATAACCAAATAAACAATATTAAATTAAGTAAGAAATATTACTATTGTAAAATATTGAGGTAAGACAAATAATATATATATATTTTTTTTCAATTTAGGAGCACAATGAAAATATATCAAATACTGAAGTAATTGAATTAGTGTTTCAAATATTTCTATAAAATATATTTATTTATTTAATTATGGAATTATGTATATTTTTAACACAGACTTAAAGGCCAATAATTATATATTATAATAAATTACAATTATACATTTTTACAAATAATTTAAAAAATGCAAATATTAAAAAAAAGCATATTGTGCATTTTAATATATGTAAATATGTTGTATTGTGCAAACCAAATACCATTTTACATAATTTACTATTAATATTAAATAATAATAAAACATACAGCACTTCATTTAAACTATATTAGCTGTGCACGTTGATAAACAGTTGATAAACATCTATTTTTAATGGCAGATGCGTGTGAGTGTGGTTCGTGAGGTCACGCTCGCACCTGTGTGATCCAGATTGTCCTCCAGCCAGCGTTTAGTGCCTTGGTAGTTAAACTTCCCGCCTCCCGACAAGAAAAACAGCAGGTTGTATCTATAAAAAAGACGGGTTTTTTTGTAAAGCAGCACAGAAATCAGTTTGAAGCCTCTGTTTTACTAAACGAAGCCAAGTGTTACCCTGCATGCGTCCTCTTGTAGGAGTAGAGTCTGGAAAACAGTCTCGCGAGCTCCAGCAACACAGCCACTCCGCTACCATTCGAGTCCGCGCCGTACGACAGCCACTGAAACAAAACACACTCAATCAAGGTTTGAAATAACACCCGCCAAGTGTGGGTGAAAATCAACTGTGGCGGGTAACGCTGTCGAATCACGAGCCAATCTGGCGTGTTAGTTACAATGTTTACTCACTTTGCTGGGGAAGTTTGTGTAAGATTTGGCGCAAATACTCATCATGATATATTAAAAACAGCGTATTGCTCAGAATCTGCTCATATCTGGCTTACTTGAACACACATGATGATATAAAATTGATATGAGTGATCACATGGATTTAGACCTATATTGTATTAATACTAAGCGTTCACAGGCAAATTTGCTTTATGTATTTCCCCGGTGTCGAAATCAGGCTCATATAAATGTCAGGAAACACGATTCCTGTCAGCATCTCAGTATCCAGAATCACTGGATCTTTGGTCAGTCGTAAGAAACACTATATCGAGTCCAACCTTTAGTTTAAACCGATAATCATTTGTTTGACTGGCGTTTTGGCAGTTTCCCCTGTTAACTCCAGTCACTCAGCAGCTCTTCTGCCTCTCAGTCCGGCTGAGGAACGTCACGTCAGTGAAAGAGAGCGACACGAGGTCCTTACCGGAGCAACCCCGAAAGAGTCGTAGTGAGCAACCAGGACGATAGTGGGCAGATCTTCTCCCGCACCAGTGAGACGCCCCTGAGGACACAACAGAGATCATATGAGGGAACTCATGCTTTGCTATTTCTGAAAGGTAAACAAGTTTACTAGTTAGACTCAAAGCCATGTTGCTTATCGTTGTTGTTTGTTTTAAGTGTTTTTGTTTAGTTCTTTAACTGAGATTCATTCTCCAGACAGAATTTCGTTGTACTATACAGGTGAAACTCGAAAAATTTGAATATCGTGTTCATTTAGTTCAGTAATTCAACTTAAACTAATATATTATATAGACTCATTACATGCAACGTGAGATATTTCAAGCCTTTATTTCAAACCTTTTCACCATATTCTAATTTTGACTTTGGGGTTTTCATAAGCTGTAAGCCATAATCATCAAAATTATAACAAAAAAAGGCTTGAAATATCTCACTTTGCATGTATTGAGTCTCTATATAATATATTAGTTTCACCTTTTAAGTTGAATTACTAATTTTTCCAGTTTCACCTGTGTGTAAAATGACAATAAAGTCCAAGTTCAAGTTCATATTGAGTGCCATTTCTGCCATTTCTCACTTTAAACGTTGACAGCTGCGCAACACAAGGTCACATTTACAGTTGTAGTTTTTATTTACAAAATATCAATCTCCAAAGCACGTTCACACAACAACGCCAGCTCTTTCGTCAACACAGCATGCATGCGCCGAGATTCATATTTTGTAAATAAAGTTGTAAATTATATTTTTTGGCACATCGCTTCGTAAAATGTAGGTTAAACCACTAGAGTCACATGTCTTTACTACCTTAAATAGACTACAGCAATTAAAATAGTCAGAACATGTAGTTAATTACATGTCGTTTTGTTTAATTAGTCTGTTCAGAATTATGATCTTTCTTTTAAACAAAAATATTCTCAATTGATCCAGAATCGCGCAGCTCTACATTAACGTCTAACCTGCTGTGATGCGTCCTCATTGGCCAAGTCTGAGCAAATGATTGCTTGAATTTTTGCCACAAATTCGGCTTTAGAAGACTTTAGTCGTGGTCCAGAAATAGAAGAACTACTTTTATTATGGTTTTCAACTTTCACTAGATGATAAAGCAGCTTGAAATGTTCTTCAAAACATCATTTTGGTTCAGAGAACAAGGAAAGTCATACAGGTTTGGTAGGACATCAGGGCGAGTAAAGCCCCTTTCACACTGAGATTCAGGAAAATACATGGATCATGTGTCCCGGGATCGTTTGATTTTGGTTCATTCACACTGCCAGTGATTTTCCGGAATCTGTGAGCGCGTTCACACACACATCCCGTAAAGACACGTGACGTCAGGATGTGATAACTTAGTGCTGTGCGGTATACCGGTTCATACCGAAATCCGATGTATATTTTTAGTATGATATAAATTTTTAATATACCGCCATACCGATGTATTTAATTACACAACGTTCGCGCCGCGCGACACTGTTTCAGACGGACCCTTTACAATGTTGCACTTCTAAGCAGCGACGGCGAGGCGAGGGTAAACAGCAGTGCTCTGGTGTTACGTTACAGGGAAGATGGATGCTGCACAACTATGGCGTTATTTTCCTGTCAAATGTCGAGAGCGCATTATTGTAACGCGAAAGTACATTAATAGAATGCGCTAGCGCTAATCTCTCTGCTCCCGCGCGCCGCGCTCTCAGATACACCCTGCTCTTGTAAGAATAGGTCTATTTTCTCTGGGCTCGCTCAGAGAATCCTGCACTTAAAACGTGTTCAGTGCAATCGCGAATCTCTCCTCTTCCCCAACGTTTAAGAACGTTTTCATAACGTTCCCGTGAAGTTATAAAAACGTTATTTCTGAATGTTCTAGGAACATTCAAAACGTCCAGTTTTTTAGACGTTGTATTAACGTTATTTCTTGGTTATAAGAACGATATTCAAAACGTTATAAGAACGTTATTCAAAACGTTATAAGAACGTTATTCAAAACGTCATAAGAACGTTATTCAAAACGTTATAAGAACGTTATTCAAAACGTTATAAGAAAGTTATTCAAAACGTTATAAGAAAGTTATTCAAAACGGTATAAGAAAGTTATTCAAAACGTTATAAGAAAGTTATTCAAAACGTTATAAGAAAGTTATTCAAAACGTTATAAGAACGTTCAAATCTCCCGTTATATAAACTTTGTATTAACGTTATTTCCTGGTTATAAGAACGTTAAGAAATAACAATTTTAGGTTATACTGGGCGCAATTCTATTCTACAATATTCACTAATGACAGTAATAGACCATCCTAAGTCAATTTACTGCAGTAATTCCTCTCTCAACCAGTAGAAAAGGCTTTGAACACCTGATTATGCATAAAAAAATATATAAAAAAACTTCATAAACCGGAAAACCGGCATAATAAAAAAAAAAAAAAAAAATGAAAAAAAAAAACGTATTATCAATTTTTGGTCAAACCGCCCAGCACTATGATAACTCCTGTCAGATGTCAGTTCTGCTGATAACTCATTTCTACACGGAGACGAGTCCATGCTCCCCAGTAGCGCCACTGGGTTTGCCGAGTGGCTCGTTCCCCATATGCTGTAGAAAGGCATCACTACGACACACCCCTTACGGCATTGGTCCTGGCTTTAGTTCACAGGGACTGATCCCGGAAATGTTTCTAGGTCCCCATCCCGGCTTCAATCCCGGGACGTGTTTGGGTTCACACAGAACAGACACTCTAGCGATTTTACGGCAATTTCCCGGGATCAACGCTGTTTTCTGGTATCAGTAATACTCACCTCTAGACTGGTAATGGCCCAGTCACTGACAGCTTTACTCTGAGCTCCACTGGTCACCATCTGAAAACCATTAGCCGTCGCTGTGTGCAGCAGCACTGTGCAAAAACACACACACATTAACTATAAAACCCTTATATAAACAAACACACGGTAAAATTTCACTATATACACAATATATAATTTGATCTATATAAATATATAGACCTTTTAATAAAATAAGAAATTCAATCTAATTATTACAATATTTCTTATAATAAAACATTTTCATATAAACTACAGTAGGGGGGTGGGCGATATGAGCAAGATTTCACATCACGATATTTTTCACTGTCCGGACAATATCGATATTATATTGCGATATGAGAAAAAAAATTGGAATCACATTTTAGTACACCTTAGTTAAATTACAGGCAAAATATGTATTTTAACCCAATAACTAGAAAAAGGTGAGGGATATAATTGGACATAGACCTGAAAAATCTTTTTTTTTATTGTGCCATTATTTTTCTCAAAAAGTGCAAACGTGCAACATGAGGCAGGCCTGAATTCACTAGTTATCTCTTCCCAATTTTTATTTTGCGGGGGTCAAATAATAATAATTCGTAAGATGAGTAACACTGGAGTTTGGTTTATTGAATACGTTATAATCAATAAATATGAAATAGTGTGATTTCAGTGAGGTTTGACACTTAGGCCTAAATGAAGACAACATTATGTTAACCGAGGCTACACACTGCTAATTCAGTGGCGAGAATTTAATTGTTGTTTTTATTTATATTGTTGTCCATTTATCGAACTTCCATACCTCTTATATAGTGATTATATATTACTATGTATCAATTTACTAATGCTCACACACACTCGGTCTCTCGCCTCATAGACAGACGCTGTGTGTGTGTGTGTGCGAGAGACACGTGAGTGACAGAGACGGAGTGACAGAGAACGAATACACTGCGTGTTTTAGCGTAAAAAAATAAATGAATAACGAAACGCATTATGTGTTGGCCGGTGTTGATTCTGAATTAGTCTATGTGTGAGAAACACTGTTACCATGCTCTCTGTGTTTGATTATTAATGCCTGTGCATCACGCGAGTTGGACGCAGAGGAAAAGGTTAAACGTTCAGTTCAGCCTCGATTTTTTATCGTCATTGGTAGGCCTAGTGTTAAAAGTTGTAAAGTACCAAATTAAACAAAACAATATAACTGCGAAATTGGAATTTATGAATATCTAACGGTATTCTCGGTATCGCAAAATCCATATCATGGTACAACATAATCAGAGTTTCCGCTAGAAAAAAATGGTGCCGGTCAAAGTGACCGGCTGAGGTTTCGTTTAACGGACATTTTGATGATATGCCGGTCAAATATCGCCTCTTAATTAGTCAAGTTGAGGAAAACTGGAGGCAGGCTATGTAACTTAAAAAATGACATAATCAGGCCGTATAGAATGCAACATGTTATTATTAGCCTAACTTTCAAATAGACGGTAAAAAACATGAACGTCCGATTGGCGTCAATCAACACCAATTGTTTTTTACTATGGTTTCACACACATTCACTTTTTGAAATATTGAGGCACGGATATACCTAATACAAATAAATAAAACATCTCCAGTTAACTAGCAGATCATTCATTTAGTTCGCTATTAAATAAGAGATCTAGCGCTAAAATCAGTTGTTAGTTGCGCAATCTTCACTCGGACGCGCGTTTCAATCTATCGCCGTTGCGGAGACTCTACACAGGCGAAGCACTGCTACTCGGGCACAGAGATATCACACAACACCTGAAATAAAGCTTGCCACAAAGAACCGGCGAAAGTAATGATTATGCATGAAACATTTGAATTGTTGATAAATTGATAAAGTTGACGATGCAGACTCGCCATCTTCGCAGTAGTGAACGCGCCTGGGAGAAATGCACACTTCATATGAATAAATTCTTATTTATTAATCCAGGCAAATTTGTTGATGAAACATTGATCAAAATGAAGATACAATTTATACAAAACGAAATAAACTTTAAAGAAAGGCTTTCTACAAAACAAAACTAAATAAGTGGTCAAAATCATGTCTGACCAATTCCAAATGTTTTCCGATATATAGGCCTATTGGTGATCTTATGATCCTATCTTACTCATCTCATGCGGTTCCCTTTTCATATAGCCTAATCAACATGGATGAAATAAAAAAAATAATAACATTATATGGATGAAATAAAAAAAATAATAACATTATATTCATTTATAAATATGTATAAACGTAACGTATAATAAGTTAAAAAACTTATTTTTTTTTCACACCGCTCCGCTTTGCTCACATGCTCTGGTGTGTAGTCTAATGCATGTGTGCTGCATGTGGTGGAGGGCTGCGATTTTCGAATAATAATCAACCCAGCGATCTTCGAATATTATTTTTGCTTGAAAATTTTGTTTTGTATAAATTGTATATTAATTTTAATCAATGTTTCATCAACAAATTTGCCTGAATTAATAAATAAGAAGCAAATATAGTGGACAATATAATCAGGACACGGAGGCGCCGGCGCGTGCACACTTCTCTCTCTATAGGCGCGTTCACTACTGCGAAGATGGCGAGTCTGAATCGTCAACTTTATCAATTTATCAACTTTATCAATAATATCAATGGGCCTGGCCATATTTGAAACGTCTCACTCAATCGTTCGTTGTTTAGGTCTATATTACAGCCGTTCTAGGCGTGCGCTTTATTTGAAATGCAGCATGCGATGTTGTTTAATAACTTTCAAACGGTAGAGCCTGTTCCTTTATAACATAGCCAAAGGTCGGTGTATTTTTGCTTTATACATTTTAGGCTTATTCTCAAATTCATATTGTGATAGGGGGGCGGGATTATTACGCAATTTTAATCGGTCAATTTGACCGGAGAGATTTAATTTTGTCGGACATTTAATTTTTTTCCCGGCCAATGTCCGGTAATTACCGGACAACGGAAACCCTGAACATAATACCGGTAGTCACGTTGATACCGGTATAGCGCCCACCCCTACCGTACAGAACGTTCTTCCACAGAAACACATATTTGCGGGTACCTTCAGCTGCTGATGAAGACCCCTGTGAGGAAGAGGAGATCTGTGTCTGTGTGTAGATGGACAGCAGCTCCTCGTCCTCCAGGGCGAAGTACACGGGCACGATGGTCTCGGTGGCCAACAGCTCCGGCTCCAGCTCCATGAACTGCTACAGGGGACGAAAACAGACCCAGAATCAGCCAGGAGGGACGTCCCACACGGCACGCGCCTCTGAACGGGTCCTTAGGAGGGCTGGGACAATACATCCATGCATCGTGATTCCTGGATCGATTTTTTTCTCGATTCACGATGCATCGATATATTGTCCCAGCCCTACTCGTTAGACAGCGTTACCTGCACTATGTCCTGGGGCATAGTGGACATGTTCTGGGGCAGAATGATGACCACGGCTCCCGCAGACTGCCGGAGGGCTTTCTGGTATTTCTCGAAAGAGAAATCGGCGAGCCGCATCATCACGCATCGACGGCTGAGCACCTCGGCCTCCACCGAACGAGCCTCGGTGTTTAAAATGGCATTACGCGAACCTGCGAATCAATTCGGATTATTAATGGATCAGCCACATGAGGAAAAAAAAACTACCCATGTCATATTGCATTTTGTATCGTAGATAATGTTTGGTTACAAGTGTTTAAAGTGACAGTTACATTGTACTTACTCAAATAAGTACTGAGTAATAATAGTTAACTACATGTACTTAATATAGAGTTACGGTTAGCAGGGGCGTAGAATTTAGTAGGGACGCTAGGGACGTGTCCCTACCAATATCCAGTGACACTGATATATCCCTAGCAATAATTTCGATCAAAACTTAAAATGTATTTATATATTGATGTCCCCATCCCCACCGATTTCAAAATCAAACCTACGCCACTGACGGTTAAGGTTTGGTTTAGTTTGGTTAGTTACTTGTAATTATGCATAATTTACTCTTATTACGATAGTAAGAACATGTAGTAATGTGTAACTATGTCACCTTAAAATAAACTGTTACCAAATGTGTCTCTTCCTCCACCAAAATATATATAATTCATATGTGAGTCAATAAACATCTGTAAAACCAGTTTTGATTCATTAATTCTCATGAAGATGAGATATTTGATGAACAGAGCTGCCACATGAAGGGTTCAATGAAGGGTTATTGTCCTCAGCTAAGACTAAAGCTATTGCTAATTTAAAAATATGAAAAACTATAATAGTAATAAATACAAAAAAAAAAAAACTTTACACATAAACAGCTATGATGCAGTCACTATGGTAATACCATGTATCTTGGTGTACCATGCAAGGTTATATTTGGTAACTAAAAAAATTACTAAATTTAACTGAACTGAAATATGTTAAAGTTGGAGCACTAAAATTACTAACTAGCAAAAGATATAAACAAACTGAAATGAAGCTGAAATCAAAACACACTGAGGTAGAAAACGGACAAAAGCACATATCAAAACTAGTAAAAGTAAAATACTAAAACTGAATTTAAAAACGTAAAACTATAATAGTATAAATAATAGTGCTGCGTCAATGTGAGAGTAACGCGGTAAATACCGCGGTATGTAACATAGCACTACGACATGTGAAAGTCGATTATTAAACCATTGATTGGTTCAAACCGACAACCATTTAGTTACGAGCCTTGAAGAACGTTTTGAACCTAGAAACACTTCAAACATGGTAATACCATGGTACCAGTCTGGGGTGTTGTTAACTAAAAGGTTGTAGGTTTAAACCCCAGCGGACGTTGGTTAATAAACCACTACGCCACCACATGTGCCAAATACAAAGCGAGAGATGTTAATAAAGCATTATATGGCCATATAAAGCGTGTTGTGTCGGTTTATTACCGTAGGTTTGTCCCTGCAGGTCGTACTGCTGCATGCGGTACACACTGAACTCATGCGCCGCTTCCGCGCGCAGCGGACACACCAGCACCAGAAACAGCACCAAACTCAGCGGGAACGACCACTTTAGCATGTTCTCCAACACCTCGCTGGCCTCCTCGAACATGCTGGAGCCGGTTCGGGAGATTCCGATAGAGAGAAACGGAGAAAAAGACTGAATGAATGATTGACGGCGATCGCTCGGGCTGTCAGGCGCCGCGGTGGTGAGAGTTTCAGGCAGGCGAAATCACCGGACACCTACACATCTGCCGTACTGTAATGAGACGTTTTATTGATATAGTACGTGCCACGTTTAGCTTTTTTTTTACGTGACATATTGCGTTGAATACTCCTAGTTAAGCATGTTATATTTTTGAACATAATTACAATTTATGAAATCGTGTTCATGTGCATCGTTTTGGTGTTGGTTGGGGTCCATCAGGAATATTCACGGACTACCTCATCTGACCTTTTTCTCCAGATTTTTTTTAGCCTATTTATTTATTTAGCAAAACATACAAAATCAGTTACATTTGGGGTGGGCAGTACAATTAACAATATAAACAATGAATTACAGTATAGACTACAAAAAAAGTTGTATTTTTCTGTCATGGTTAAAGAATTCAATGCTTATAAAAGACAATACATTTTGTATATATTTGTTTGTTTCCTCAGAGAGTAACCAATGAGTCATTAATCATTTCCCTATTATTTAAAAAAAAATACAAATGTCACATTAAATAAGTGCTCTTGATGACCACTAGAGGAGTCTCCCCGGTTTCCCACAATCACTGTGGGATTTTATTACTGGTGAAATTAGTCAGAGAAGATTAACATTCACAGTTAGTCTCATATATAATATTTAACTGTGATTTTACTGAAAGATCAAGTTTGAATTCAGCTCTAAACTCAGTTAGTGATTATTAAATCAAATAATATAAAATAAATATGAAGCTCAAATACCCAACAGCAGTAGTTTGAGTGTGACATTACTCTTTGTGAAGTAAACGTTTGTCTGTTTTTTGCTTAGTTGTTGGTTCATATTTGTTGATCTATTTCTCATCTTTTGTTTGTTTACTGCTGCAGAATATTATTCACTTCACTTTTAAATTAATTAAAGTATTATAGTCTAAAAATGGTCAAATCTGAGATTATTTATTTTAATTTATTATTCAGATGTTGGCCTCTCAGGCAGTGTAATTTATATATATATATATATATATATATATATATATATATATATATATATATATATATATGATCACAATAAAACACATAATGACTTTATAAATTGTTTATTGACTGATCTGATCTCAGTTTGATGTGTTTATTCCTCAGACTCTGTCCACTGTTGTGGTCCTACTGAAGCTGTGATCCGATTGGTCCTCTCTGCTCTGGTGGGCGTGGCTACTGTCATCATTCTGGTTTATGACATCAGATCCAGAAGAGATTATTGATTTTTAATGTCTTTGTATAGAGACCTGAAGCTCCATCAGTGCTATATAATGTCAGTGTGCGACTGAAGGTTGTTAGTTTAAATTTCAACATTAAGATGTTTGATGTTCATCTCTCGTATCCATTCTATTCTATTCTAAATAATTTGAACATGATTACAGCAGTATTTCCTGTTCTTGACACATATATTCAACATCTTGGTGTGATAGTAATAATTGAGCATATTTATTAGAATATTAATCATGTGAAGATCTCAGAGGACACTTTCATACACACAGTTATAGCAGACGATCTGTTCCTGCTCCATAAAACCATTAGAGAAACTCTGAGATCAGTCTGAGAGGAGAAACAATCGAGACATTTGATCAGAAATGAAGAACAAACGTCCTGAAGAGAGTTACAGGAGAGAGCAGAGACAAACACTCTCAGGATCTCAGGACAAGATCAAACTGTTGCTTTAAGATGTTTTTAACATGTTATTGGTCAGTTTATTTCCGTTGAAAGTCACATCATTGACGTACAGGAATTAGAGGCGTACTGGAGCTCAAAGTGTCAATGATCAAAGTGTGAATTAATCCAAAATAGAGTTAGATGGTCACATGCATTAACACTGAATAAATAGGCAGATATTTTAACTGTGTGTAGAGTTTCACTTCACTTTACTACAGAGCAGCTTCACATCAGCGCGTCTGTCATTTATTACTGAACCAGTTTTGAAGAGTTTGTCTTTTCATATTTGTGGACTGAATCCGTTGAAGATGTTTCTCCCTGTTTTGCTCTGCTTGTGTTTCTGGCGTCTGGATGGTGAGTTTTAATGTGTTTTTATGACTTCAGTTGTTTCTGTTCTGGTACCATGTGATAAATGTCTGGTTGAATTAGTTTGAGAGGATCAACATTCACTGTTATTCTCATAATATATTAAATAATTGAACTGTGATTTTACTGTTAGATCAAGTTTGAATTCAGCTCTAAACTCAGTTTTTATGGATTGATTAAAATAATATAAATATGAAGCTCAGATAATCAACAGCATTAGTTTTAGTGTGACGTTAAACATTAAGTAAAAGTGTCTTTTTTAGTTATTGTTCCATATATAAATATATTTATCTTTTCATTCATCATCTTTTGTCTTTGTACTGATGCAGAATATTATTAATTTCACATTTAAATGATTAAAAGTATTTTAGTGAAGCTTCATCAAACCAACATCAAGAGATTTAAAGCTTTAATCTGTGAAAAACTCTGTTCTTCAGGAGTGTTTGCTGATGAGTTTGTGTCAGTGTTTGAGGGAGATTCAGTCCCTCTAAACTCTGATTTTACAGAAATAAAGGATGATGCTGTGATTCGGTGGAGGTTTGGAGATGAAAACACATTAATAGCTGAAATCAATAAACGGCCCGACATAATCACTGTATATGATGATGTTCTTGATGGGAGATTCAGAGACAGACTGAAGCTGGACAATCAAACTGGATCTCTGACCATCACAAACACCACAACTGAACATGATGGAGATTATCTACTACTGAAGTTTTCAGAGGGAAGATTCTCATCAAAAGCATTCAGAGTTTCTGTCTATGGTGAGTAGAGATCATTTGTCTTCTCCTTCAAATATTCGTATTGACTATTTACATATTGAATTCTTAAATCGTTTATAGTTTGAGATCAGAGACTGTATAAAAACTCACTTGGAACCGAATGTAAGATTGTTGATTAAATTTGATCATATTTCTGTTTATTCAGAAATAAGTCAGGGTTCTGTCACTTTTGTCTGGATTATATTTCTGCTGGTGACAGAACTCTGACATTCCCGGTTTGTCCTGTGTTTATGTTTATTCTGGTTTATTGTGAGCACATGGCTTCTTGTATTCCTGTGCCATGTGCTCTCTTGTCTATTGAGAATGAGAATGTGACGTCACGCGTTTCACTCCGCGTTGTATTGTGGGAAGGCGTCGCCATCTTGGAAGGATACGACATCCGTTGTCATGGTTACTTCGACAGTGAGACCGAGAGAAATAGCGACAGAGAGAGAGAGCAGCTTGATATTTGTTTGCATTTTTGCGATAAGGCACAGTTTCTTGGGAATAAATTAAGAGAAAGGAAGCAAAAGGAAAGGGGTTCTATCGGGAGAGACTAAATAACACCAAGCAGCGTTAGAGAAACTACTTGACATCAACAACTTGGACCCGTACGACCTGCTACAGAATGGACGAAAGACCCAAAGCACTACCAGCTTTCACATACCCTGACATAGTCAATCACCTGGTTTATGTTATCAGTGCCTAATGTTACTGGCTGCCTACACAATGCAAGAGTTCAGAAGCTTTAAGTCATTAGAAGCTTATGAACAATTCTGCTGCGGCTGGGTGGAAGACTTAGAAACCCCCAAACCTGTAACGTTAAACTGCGAGAGTTCAGTCATACTTGATGTTTCAGGCCTCATTCATGTGGAAATAAATCTGATATGAATCAGATACGTGCATTTGCACCTGCCGTGCAACGTTAAGCGGACAGATCGGACATTCCCCTGTCAATGCGAGTCGTACGTCATTAAAAAAATGTGTCTTTTTAAAACATTTCGCGGTACAGATATATCTATAACAAATTAAACAACTCTAGTTGAATAACAGAGTATTAATTTCGTTAGTTTGTGTTAAATAAAAGGCGAACTGTGCTGAAATGTGTTGCTTTTGAAATCATGCTTTGCTCGCTGCTGCTGTTGTCAGTTTATTGACAAGCAGTTTCTCTAAATAAAGATAGCATTGTTATTTAGTCTCTCCCGATAGAACCCCTTTCATTTCTCTTCCTTCTCCATATCTTCCAAAAAAACTGCGGCGTATCGCTAAAATGTAAACAAATACTAAGCTGCACTGTCTCTCTTTCGCTATTTCTGGAATGTTTAGTCGCGCCTCTATGAAGTTCTGAAGGCGTTGCCCCTGGCAACCGATAGCGTCTCCTACCATCATGGCCGACCAGCTCAGACCCCGCCCAAATCAACCCAAAATGGCACGTGACTCCTCACTCTCAATAGTCAGCCCCTCCTTGTCACGTGATAATCAGGAAACATAAACGAGGACTCAATTGCAGGAAAACAAAGGTAAGATTTTAATTAACCAACTAAACAAAATACAAAGTACAAACAAAACTCCGACGTGGGGGAAAAACCAGAACAAATACTAACAAGGCAAAAACACCAGGAACAAGAAACAGGAACTTAGACAAACGAACCAGCACCGGACTGAAAACAAAAAGGAGGCTATAAAGGAAACACACACAGGAGGGTAACGAGACAACAGGTGAGGAATGTTAATTACTAAACAGATAACGAGAAGGGAGGAGCTAACAATTAGACAGAAAGCACATGGCACAGGAATAATCAGGAGCCATGTGCTCACATGAAACTAGACTAACATAAACACGAGAGAGACAGGAAATGTCATAGCTCTGTCACCACACAGAACTAGTAACAAAAGCAGAAGTGACAGAACCATGACATTACCCTCCCTCAAAGGGGACGCCACCTGGTGTCATCAAAAAAAAAAAAAAAAAAAAAAACACACAAGAAAACAAACAGACCAGACAACCATATCAGAAACACTAAAACAGGGAGGAAACCCAAACCAGTCCATAATCGCATAGCGGCAAAAAGTCCAAGAAGGCCAGGGAGGGATGGGAGGGTTAAACCAGGTAGTGCAGGCGGCCAGGGCTAAACAGGCTGTGTAGGCGGCCAGGGCGGAATAAGCTGTTCGGGCGGCCCTGGTGAAGAAACCCCCTCGGACGGCCCAAGAACGGT